AGATATACAACGCGGTGGGATTCCACAACGTTGTCAAAGGTAGAGTCGGATAACACGTAATAACCAAAGGAGAAAGTTGATATACCGTATATAATAGTATTTGATACTAGTTCTTCTGAGAGAGGCATTTTCCCAAACTCAAGTTTCATTTCACAGGAACACAAAAAAATGTGAGTTATTTTCACGTAAAAAGCGAAGCCGAGGATGGGAATGATTGGAGTAAGTGCCAGGATTCACATTCAGAACAAGTTATGAACAATACTTTTCATCACAACGCAAAAATTACTTACATACAGAACAACAGCCCTCAGGAAAATTAAAAATATTGAATTTTCAATCAACATAAATAAAAGCATAAAGGTTATTACCCTACATAACAATGTGAGAATTAGAAGCTCAAAGTTACGTTCATTGTTCAGCTCATATTATAAGCTAAAACACAGCATAAGCTAAAACACAGGATATGTTGGTGCATAATATTTCTGTTCACATTTTTATTTTGAACAATGAAAACAGCTGATTTCAATAATAATAGAAATACATAAATTGTAAACAAAACACTCGCTAATGTAGTGGGCAATGGGAGAACTGATTGAAAAGGGAAAGTAAATTTAGGGCAAGGGAAACTCAGTTGATCGTTTTCCCTTGCTATAAATTTAGAGCTTGTGAACAATTACGTCGTTTGGATGAACCTACCAAAAGAAAACACATTTATTGAGGATCTCCTTCTTTACAAAAAAAAAAAACTTTTAATACCTATTAAAATATTCAAATACAATTTGAGTTTGGTGCTTATACAGGAACTCCAGTATCGTCTTGGTGGGACAATGGCAAAAATCAAATAGCTTTTTGTCGTGGAAACAAAGGATTTGTGGCTTTCAACTTAGAAGACTACGATTTGAAGCGTACACTCCAGGTATTAATATTGTTTGATCCAAATGCCTTTTAATTTTTAAACATGAGATATTTCTGTATTTTTATATTACTATTCGAGTGTTACAATTTGGCCAGCAGCCATGAGCTGTATTTACGAACAGGGAGAATATACAATGTACGGTTCAAGATATGATGATTTATCATTTGGATAACTATTCTTTCAACCTTTGTTACTGCATTTTTAGTACACTAAATGATGAATCTTTATTTATTTACTAGATCTTGCTAAATTTTACAATTAAATAATAATCTAAAAAGTGGTAAGTTTTAGATAACAGTGATGTGTAAGGAAGTAACTTATTTCATAAACCCTTGTGTTAGTTAAAACAGTTTTATGCACCACCAAAACATGAAGTCCTATATGGTGTGGTTCAGGAGGTATTTGGAAAGATACAAATAATTTTCAGAAGATTAAGCCACAAAAAATGAGGTACAAAATTTAAGAAAGATCTGCCCTTACAAAGATAAATCCAAGACGCTAAGTCATTAAGGTTCTGTCTGAATTTGTATGCATACCAGTCGATCCTGAGAAAAACGCGTAAGACAGCAATTATCGACAATTTTTTAGCCGATACAGTACAAAGGTTAAGTGTACTGATAAAAAGTAGTGGTACAAGGATCTGAACCCAAACCCATGACATCACTGCCTTGGGGCTGAAGTCTGTGGCGCTGCTGACTGAGACATCGACTTACTTAAATTTGCATTTTCTGGGTGGTAACAGTGTATGTAACCATAGATAAAGCATACTCCCTTAGTAGATTTCTCATCCGTATGGAACAGCTGAAGCCAGTTTTATTGTTAGTTCTGTCCAGTGCACTTTAGAGGTAGTTTTTGTTTACAATTTGTTTTTTGTTATTTCAGTAATTTAAAACCTCAATCAACCAAATAAAATGACCTAATCAAAACAATAACTCTTCCTCTTGTTATAAAGCCAAACACTAAAGCCCAAATCATGAAATTAACCCTGAAATAATAGAAACAAAATTTTGTCTGCACAGTCAGTAGACACGTAAAACGAGCTTGAGCATTTACAATGGGATGAGATGTCTACTTGTGTAGGTTAGTCTATGATATAAAGTAACATTACATTTATAATGAAACACCTCAAGCATACGTTTCTGTTAAAAATGATCCCTATTTATAATGTTTCAGACATGCCTGCCAGAGGGAGAATATTGTGATATAATATCTGGAGAAGTTACAACTACAGGGTGTTCTGGCAAAACGGTTCATGTCTCGAAAGACGGACGTGCAGATATATTCATTTCAAGGTTTAATCCTGAAAGTGCTGAAGACGGAGTTTTGGCAATCCACGTCAAGTCTGTAACTCCTTCAACTCAGTGAAAAACTTCACAGAAATCGCTTGATATTAAATTAATTTTAGTTTGTACTAGCTGTGTACCCGTTCTACGCACGGGGATCTTATAATATTCAGTTGAAACCTTCTTATATAAAGAACAGCAGTTGGTTTGCATATTTTAAGATATGCTGGCCAAACTATTATACATAGCTTCATTTTATGTTGTTTTTTGTTGTTCCGGATCGGTATGACAATCAATAAAAGGTTAAATTACCTCTGTGTCTGCCGGTCGATCCTATAACGGTAGGCTTACTTTTATTTTTACTATCTGATCTCGTTTGCATGGCTCAATCACGTCCTGGTTGAAGTTCGTTCGCTACGCTCACTCACCTGTATGTTGGAGCTCGTTCGCTGCGCTCACTTTCCTTCAGGTTAGCTCGTTCGCTACGCTCACTTGCCTTCAGGTTAGCTCGTTCGCTACGCTCACTCGCCTCCAGGTTGCAAATTAGCTGTTGTCATAAATGTAAAAGAAATAATAGTGCTAGTGCTGCACCCTGTTGGTAATCCTTGTAACTTTAATGCTATTGAACATCACAGAACAGAACCAACTTGTTTAATTGAAACAGCTGTTAAGATTCAATAATTTCATTTCTCATAAGGTTAACATGGGCTTCCAGAAATTCCACGTCAAAAATCGACAAAAACTTGATTTTCAAGGGTTTACTGTTAAATATCTAACTGTCTCATATTCGATGAAATACGTCTAAAACCATCTCATATATGTATAGTATTTGGAAAATAAGTTTCAGGCGGGACAGTGCTATAGTTATTGAGGAGTAGTTGTAATAAAGTGCGTATTTTAGCGTTACCAAGAGAATGACAGATAGACAGACAGACAGACAGACAGAAATTGAGATAAGGTTTGATTCGGTTTCTCTGACCTATGAAATGTAAAAATAACCAAAAAGTTCATTATTCTAAGCAATGTACAGACAAAACTCTAATTTTATTTATATAGATTTTAGGGCTTGAACAAATCTTTTGACACGGGTAATTATATACATTTAAATTTAGCCTTGGACCATGTAGTTTGTTCCTAAACACTGTTAACACTTTTGTGTTAAGTATATATTGTGATTTGTGGTGATGTCTTGATTTGTGATGATAATTTTCTATTAAAGTCATTTTAGTCACAATATTTTTTTGCTATTATTGTTCTGTTTTATCACTGAAACAAAATGATGAGTGAAAATTATCCCAATAAAAATGAAAAATGTAAACCAAATCCTATAGGTTGAATCCTGCAATTCTTTGATACACTATTGGAGTACGCTCCAAGTTACGTATGAAAATGAATGAAGATATATAATCTTTTCATCAATATTTTTATCATAGGTTCCAAGTTGACCACAAAATTTTAATTTCATTAAAGCGCAATTTTGAATCAAATACATACACCTTTTTTACAAAAAGGGGTACCTCTACCTTCGGTAAGAGCCAGCAGGGCAGGACCCTTAAAATTTCAATATTCATAAACTATTTATATCTTTATGAAAATAAATTTGTTTAACACTTTTATATCTCAAACCTTTGACTCAAACACTAAAATGGCAAATGGCTAAAACTGCTCTGAAGTAAAATGTTGTAAAACTGCCTTTGGGAGCGTTTCATAAACTCCAAATTTCACAAACTCCAACGCTTAAAATATTAAATAAACAGAGCGGTTCATAACCTCCAAATTTCATAAGCTCCAAATCTATAACTTTCAAATAATCACTGTTACACAATGTCCAGGTTTCACAAACTCCAACGTTTAAATATTAAATAAACAGAGCGGTTCATAATGTCCAAATTTCATAACCTCCAACGGTACAGTCTGGGCCAGAAGTCTCTCTAGTGGTTGCCACAGTCGTCAGATAGCAGGCACCGTTCGCCAGCACTCAACTACTGATTATACGTACATTTTAATGATTGAAGAACACTCAGATGTGTGACTCAAATATATGTTAGCACACAATGTGCAAATCAAATTTACATTTCAGCGAATTTCCCCTATAGGGAATAAGCTATTACCGTAGTAAAAAGACCTGGTCCCAGGACCGATTTACTTTTTCGTTTTGAAGTCCCTAGAGACCAAAAACACCATCAGATATATATATATTTATATGTGTGTCCGTTAGCGCGATAACTCGAGCAAAAATCATCCGATTTTGATGAAATTTGGTACAAACGTGTAAACCTACGTTTATTCGAACGAGTTCGCGAACCAGCATGATCGGACTATGGGAACTCTTACGGAGCAACAATGATACTTCGTGTTACACCGCTACAACAGTAGAACGTGTAGCGCCTACATCCCGAACCACGGCAACCTCTGCAGCGACTTCTGGCAGAGACTGTACCGTTGGAGCTTATGAAACTTGGAGGTTATGAACCCCTCTGTTTATTTGATATTTAAACGTTGGAGTTTTGAAATTTGGACATTGTGAATCGGTGATTATTTGAAAGTTATAGTTTTGGAGTTTATGAAATTTGGAGGTTATGAAACGCACTGTTTATTTAATATTTTAGACGTTGGAGTTTGTGAAATTTGGACATTATGAACCTCACCCCTGCCTTTCATGTGGTTTTTCAATAGGCAAAAAAAATCTGTTTGGTGAAACAAAAAAATAAACATTACACATTTCTTTGAAAAAAGTAAAGAGGTGTAAAATAAAAACCGTATCGTCACTTAAAAATTATCATTTATTTATTAGCTTAAAAAGTTAAATAATTTAACATACCTTATCAAAAATAGAAAAATTACAAAAAATGGTGGGAATCAAGAGGTGGGACGGTATAACCCTATTATTTTATGTTTGGATACTCCAAAACAAAACAATTAAAAGGTTTAAGTATCCATATGCGCCATTCTTAATTAGACCTCTACCCAGGGTTGTAACTAATACACCTGCAGACAATTTCCATAGAGAAGTAAAAGGTTACAAAACTTGTTTACACAATTTTGTAAAAAAAGAAAATATCTCAAATTACCGTACTTATGTTCTGGAGAGAATTTCTTATTTCTTAACTATCCTGATTTGTGAGTGAATTTTGCAGAGGTACCCAGTTCAAATTCGTTCTGCCACTGCATTTACCTACAATAGGTTAAGAAAAATTACAAATGACAAAAAACGTACAATTTTTAAAATTTAAACCATAGAGCATTGCATCATAAAATATGAGTTCTTAACAATAATTTAAACAGTATTTGAATAGAATCAATATGAGTACTTTTCAATTTATCACAATTTTACAACTTTTAAAGGCTAAGAATAAAACTGAGACTACGTTATAAATTTAGAGGAAGATCGAATAGAGATCGGCGAATTAGAGAGATCAGGGACGAGGCGTGTAGAGTTGTCATTATCCGTAGAGTTGGAGGCTGACTGTAGAGTTGTGGGAATCTCCAACTTAACAGGCTCTAGGGAAGGCTCTGGCCTATCATAGGTGGGGGGGAGGGAGGGGCGTCGCTGCCATGAGGGGTAGGAGGGGTTGTAGCTGTAGCGGTTGTAGTTGTTGTAGTTGTTGTAGTTGTAAGGAGGCTCTACGTCTATGATAGTGAACTTTGGCGTTGAAGAAAACCTGAAAAAAGAACAGTTTGAATTGCAAATACATTTGGATCAAACACAAGAACTTTCATTCCAAGTTAATTGTGTTCCTGAATTTTTATAACAGGCAATTAATTAACAATCTCACTTAACGATCATGGTTTTAGTCTTAAGTTGTCACAACAATAGTTGAAAGTGATCTCATGTCTGTGGAACAACCAATGGGTTTTGTTATGTGTGTGATGATGAGCATAGCTGATGAAAGGCCTCATGAAAATAAAAATTCAAAAATCTTGACAAAGTTTTTATTTTAAACTTGAAACCAAATGGGTGTGACTAAAAGAGGACAATGAGAATAAAATATGATTAATACAATCACAATGTAGTACGACTAAACCAATGAGAGTGTGTTATTGTATTCAGGAAAAAACAAACTTCTTACTGAGGTGAGAGGTATTTTGAAACAAAGGTGGCTGAGATAAGATTGTAGTAATACCTTTAATTTTTTTATTCTAAATTAATTTTTCTACCTATTTCTGGGTGGAGTGACATCAATGATGTTTGACTGAACTCTGGTGACTTCGTTTTCGTTGTTGTGGTAGCCCTGATAGCCTGTGTATCCGCTGTATATGGGTTGGCGGTACTGCTGAGGACTGGAGGCTCTGGTGTCGTAGTAGTCCAGCCGCTGATCATACCATCCGGGAGGTCGAACTGAACAAGATGAAAATATTTAAGGTTTATTGTCTGTAGAACAGAATTTATCAAATAATTTCATTGTTAGTTTATATGAAATACAGTTCACTGACCAGCAGCAATAGATTAGAAACACAAAATGAAAATATTCTTAATAATTTTCTTGGGCTCAATTTGGTAAGCTTCTGATTGAAGGGTAAGCACCACTGGGTAAATTAGTAATTTTTAATATTTTTTCTTCAGTATCTCTCTGTGTATTCATGTAATTTTTCGTCATTATGTCCCAATAGGTCACTCAATTACTAAAAATGAACATATTGATGTATAGCCATGTGCTACTAAAGTTATTTATGAGTGTTGTTAACCAGTACTTGACCTATAACCCATGTTTTGCTGAAGTTTGGTTTGCTCAACTTTCTAGTTTATCTTCTCCTTCTGTATCTCTACTCTCACCTATCTCAGGCAGAGTGGCGTAGTAGATGATTCTCTTGCCCTTGCGTCTGGCTGCGGTAGGGGCGGGGGCCGGGGGGTAGACCCTAATGATGGCGGGGGGAGAAACTCTGTCCTCCTTGGTGACAAACTGATGCTGTCGAGGTCTTCTCCATGAAGTGACAGTCGCTCGCTTGCCTCGGGGTCGGTCTCTATGAGGAGTCACTCTCAAAGCTGAACTCACTACCTGCACAATAAAACTACTGTAGCACAGGGCCGTACTCAGACCAGTTTTTACGGACAATTTTACCGGAGCCAGGGCCCCAAGGGGGCCCCGCCAAACATGTTATTCAAGGGGAGGGGGGCCCGGCTTAATATCTTTACCGGGGTATAACCCGGCGTTTTTTTTTTTTTTTGAAGTTTTAATTTTTAGTTTTGACTAGCTGTGTGCCCGTTCTATGCACGGGGATCTTATAGTAGTCAGTTGAATGTGACAAAAATCACAAAATGTGTTGGGATTTTGGACATTTGTAACTTTATTTCTTAAGTAGGTAGGCCATGTATTCCATGGAAAAGTACAGGTATCAAGAATCGTCATTGAAAAAGGTTGTTATGAATAAATAGGTAGGCGTACGTACCCAAGAGATGGGCTATGCGCCTATTGGCTGTATGGTCCAGCGATTGCATCACACGGTGAGTAGAAACAGAAAGTGACACATTCGAAAAGCGAGTTTAGCATCATCCGTATACCTCTATTAGGCCTACTTACAACCACCCACTGCAGTTGTGATTTTTTTTACTTTACACTTTACACAATCGCCATTGAAGCGCCGTCAGTGAATGGAAACCTTGTTTGTAAGCTATTGGCGACGATCATTATAAGTGTCCCAGTCCTATACAACACTGATTCAAGATCTTCTTTCTGGTTATCAAAACTCAAGAACAATTTCAAACACAAATAATCTCTGGTTCCTGACCTGGATGATGCCTAGTTATTTAATTTCATTTACGGTTACACTATAATATTGCACTTGCGATTAATTAAATCCGTTATGTAAGAAAAACGTTTTTAATCTCACTTTGTTTGGGATTTGCTTTCAAAACCTGATCGGAAATGATTTCGGTATTTGTAAACAACATTTGTAAACATATCGGTGACAGCTAGAAAAAATAATCTTGATCCGAACAGCTGTTCATTATTTCATAGATGATTAATATGTGATAAAAATTGACCGAAAACTTGGCAAAAATCGCACAAAACCGCATTTTTGAACGTCCGTAATTTTATTTACAAAGTAGTGAGGCCATGTTTTAATGGCTAAAGACACTCTCGCCAATCCAGTGAATACATTAAAATGACTTGGATCTTGATAGGTACTCTCGTTTTCATGGAGAAGATTGAGTAAAATGCCATCTTGAGTGTTACAGAAAGACAGACAGACAGACAGAAATAGAGATAAGACTTGTTTCAGCTTCTTTAATGTATAAAACGTAAAAATAACCTAAAAATATATAATTCTGAGCAATGTACAGACAAAACTCTAATTTTATTTATATAGATTCCATAAAAACCCATAAAACAACAAAAAATTTGCTTTTCATAAAAACCGCGCTAACTATTTTGTTTAAAATTTAGTAGGTTAACTTTTGGTCGTTTAAACTGTTAACAAAATAGTACAACACCTAATGATGTAAATATTACGGTTCAAAAGTTATTACAATTCTGGTGATTTTTCCCATAAACTAGCATAGTTACTCTCAGCATTATAATTGTTGTTGGGAGGAAGCTAGTGTATGTCTCAGTTTACTGGTACAGGTACCGTTTTTTATGTTTTTTTTTTATATTTTTAGATTACAGATTACAGTCTTGATACTGACTTCACTTCAAACTAAATTAGTAAGGTTTTACTGTTTTTATTTTTTTTACTTTTTTGTTAGAGAATAGTCCAAAAGCTTGAATGTTTTGTTGAAAAATATGCCATTGTATACTTGCTTGATGGTTGGACAATTTGTGCCTAAAACGCTCATTTTACTTTTAAATACAATCGCAATATTCCTTGTACATCCATTTTACAAATCCTAACTTACCCCTGTAAAATGAGTCTTTTTCTATGTTCGGTTTGTAAACTTAGATATACAATACTAACCTGTATTCTGTCCAGTCCGATGTCTGTGCCAGGCTGTAAGTCATTGGAAGGAGACTCCTTGGCCGGTCTAGCGTAGGGAACTCCCACCCCGAACTGACCACTGCAGAAGCCTAGTAGTAGACACCCCACTAGAAGCACTGCTCCTACCCTACAAGTCATATGAATATCAATTATACTTATCATTTAAGATGGGAACACAACCTATGTGCGTATTTCAACCCAAATGAGTGAAGGATGAGTGTAGAATGGAGTTATGATCTTTGTAGCTTATTGTTTCTAACTAAGATCAGCTGTTTCATTAGCCAGGACCATTTATCAAGGCCTATATGATCAAGCACTGCTGGGACCAAAAGCTACACACTTTTCTGGATTGAACCGGCGACCTTTAAATTACTAGGTGAGCAACCCATATACGAGTACTTTACTCGTACTTTACTTTTCACATTTATAATACACATGTATAGTATGATATTACATACACATCTACAGGGTTTGTCCATTTTTGGATTGTGGCCTTTCATTTTTCACAGTAAAAATCGCTTTAGTATAATTTCAGTTTTAACTTGTAAAGCCCTTACAAGTGCCCTTACTAGTTATTTAAACCTTTCCCTCTAAAAAATACCAGAGGGATAGAAATAGTTTGCAAATTATTCTTGTATTTGATCTTAATAATTTTAGATTCGTTTAAGCTTTTATCATTCTAACACATCGGAGTGAATATTTTAAGGCGGAAATTAGTGAACCATCAGATTGAATGAATGATACGTCAGCTCTGTCACTGACTAAGATCACTTGGGCCTTTATTCAGGATAATTTATTAAATTCCCAATGTTCAAGGTAAACTGTGCCAAGTTTCAAGCCCTTGAAAAGATTTTGTCTTTTCTCAGGATCGAACCTACAACCATCTCATCTGATCAGACAAGCACTGTATTCACTCATCTAGCTACTGGGCAATTATCCTTTTGCTCTTGAAAGAGAATATAATTAAGCTCTTTTTGACATTTCCAGAGAACTATTAGAAAATCTATTAGAATGTATATTTTCCGATCTATTTTAAATTTATGCCAGTAATTTCTAAGGGTGGTATAGAGATTCCATTTTGTCACATAAACTCTTTTAGATGTAATTCCGCTGACCAAAAGGAAAACTTTCTTTTAATCTGTTCTAGGCCTAAGAGTTATCCTATTTTCAAATATTGCTTAAAGTTTGATATGAATCACAGCCAATTTGATGGATCATATTGCCTAGTAGACAGGTTGGTTTCTTTGGTTTGGCCATTGTGTGAAGATGACCTGACCGAGAACCGTGTCGAAAACATAATTGTAGAGAAGCACAAGAAGTGTAACGGAGGTTCACACAGCGGTTCCGCCTCGACCTACACCAATTACCATTTTACTTCATGCGCGATATAAAATATGAATCTTATACGACACAAAATTTGTTGCTTGCATGATTTAATTTTGACTCATAGTAATAACATAAAAACCTTAATCCATGTTTTATTTGGTACAGTTATGAGCAACAAAACATAATAGAGTGTGTAACAGTGTAAGGATATTATACTTTTTAGCAAATTTGATGTATAAAGTTTTCATTTGTGTCACGGATTCTATTACTTCACATACACAACCGCACATTAAAAACTATGAAGGTTTTTCGATGGTTTTGTAACAATTCAAGTTTCTAAAAGCTTATATTGAATTCAATCTATTTAAATAACTGTTCGGTTGCATAAATATTTAAACCGCTTGTAACAAAACCGTCAATATGATTACAAAACATATGCAATTTTTTTCTGCAAAATAAAACTATAAAACTAATTGCCTTGAAAATGCTGCGCAATTGGTACTGTAGTATTCAATTAAACTGTTTAATTCAAATGGGCAAGTCTCTAGTCTCTATAAACCTACTTGGTACTAAGTTTAGGCCTAATTAGGGTAGTTTTATGAAAGAACTAGGAACAATAGCAAAACAATTAATGCATGGAGACAGGAAGACATTATGGTAGCCCACCTAAATGGGTAATGGTTCGTGCAAGAGATTTGTGCCATGACAATCTTTTGTATGTAATAGACAGTCACATAAAAACACCATGGTATGATACTATCTACATTTATTTACAACATGGGAAAAATTATATTAGACTATAAAGGTTTTTTTTCATAAAATAATGGTGGGGTTTTAACTGTCTGTAAAACTATTATAAGATGAATTAAATATTTCATATTGGTACCCCTGCATCTGGTAACTCAAATAGTTTTGTTTACATTCAGTAAAACAGCTGTGTTGATTGTTGTGCTAATCTACAACTTACTTATTCTTTTAAATAAACTAAGTTAAAAGTTGTGTTTTCTTTACAAACAGGTTTTCCATCATGATTAGGTTAAATGATTAAAGTTATTAAGTGAACTTAAATCAGTGACTCTTGTACAACAAGCATTTAGAAGAAAATTTAACAACACTCTACATCATGAAAATAACATTTTGTTGGAGTGTTGGAGTAAGCAGTTCATAAACACTGTGTCAGTTATGACCAGTCTTGAACCAGAAGGTTGAAACCATTAGACTTGTGTAAGAAGTCCAACGAAATCCCTCTCTAACCATCGTTTCCTCAACTTGATAGAATGGAAAATGCAAACCGTTTTCATTTTCAGCAGGATGGAGCCCCTCCACATTATAAAACCATTTTTCGAGATGCCTTAAATTTTAAGTTCCCAACCAGGTGGATTGGGAGATGTGGCCCCAAAGCATAACCTACCTCCAAGAAAACCGACCTGACTCTCACACGTGAAAGTGATTTTTTTTTCTTTGATTATATGTAATCCAGCTACTGGGAGGTCACGAATTGTGGATATTTATAGGAATGCACTGTGGATGCGATGCTCCCTGGTGTGGATTAACGTCCGCACTAGTGAGTACTACGACTATCCGCAGTACTATCCTGATAATTAGACCAATTCGTAAATTACAAGGAAAAATGTGGTTCGGATTCCACTATAAACTGTAGGTCCCTTAGTTGCCATTAGCTGTATGGGCTATTAATTAACAGCTGTGTCTAAGGAACATGTCGGCCTTAGTCACTAACAAGACTACAAGATCGCGCCACTCATCCTACACTCATCCTTCACTCATATTTGGGTTAAAATACGCACATAGTGGCGTCCCCATCTTAAATAATTGATAATTGATAATTGATTGATAATTGATTGTAGCAAACATTGTTTATTCTGAAAAAAACCGAAATCAGCCACACTAAGAGAATGAATCAGAGATGTGGTGTCCACTGTAACACGAGAAATGTAGCCTACAACATGTGGGCTGAAATATGAGTAGATCATCGTGTGGATGTATGTAGAGCAAGAAATAGTGCCCATGTTGAAGTTTATAAGCTATGTATAAAATCTTTTTGATGCCAGGAATACAACAAAATAAATCTTTTTTGTATCTTTTCTCGGGTTCTTTTTATGTCATCACTATACCCCACCATTGTTTTACCCCAAATATTCACTATTAGGACTCATTTTGAATTAATGCAGTGCGTTTTTTATAATGAAGAAACACTACTGATCTTTCAATTGTCTATTAAGAACTGCCTATAGGCAGTTGAGAACTTATAAGGAGACTTATAAGGAAGCAGACTTGTACTTCTGGTGAGAGAAAATCCCCAATGATGGTAAGGCTGATGAGGACCAATAAAGGTGCTAGAACAGTGTTTCCTGAGAAAAGTCAGTACGGTAGCTTTTTTGATGGTTCTGGACCGAGGCAATTGCCTTGACCGGACTCAGCTGTTCCTATGATCATAGGGCTTTAAATAAATAATCCTGAATGATGAATCAGCTGATCTTAGTCAGTAACAAAGAGACACAGATCACTGAAACTCCACCATGTCACCTAACACAAAGTGCATGCTGTCTAAGTGAGGTGAGGGTTTTCAATTGCATTAAAAAAACAAATTCTACAGATTGTTTACACATTAAACTAAAACTGTGCTAACCTTTTTCTGCTAATACTTTTAGCTAGCACTTAATTTTAGTGTTAGTAACCACTAGAGGATATGTAACACTCATGGCTGTTGGAATCCCTACAAATTTACAAGATGCAAACCAAATGTTGTAATTCAACAATGAATTCTTCATGGACTCCCTCTAATGTCGTACTAAAGATTTTAAATATCAATTTATTTGAATCACTTAGTATTATACTCAATGTAACATGCCGGAGAGGCCCTGCAGGGCTGAAACGTCACATCCTGGGACCCATTGTTTTGGCAGAGAAGATTTAGTCGAAGAGGCAGATAGTTGCATCAACGCCAGTGGGGCGGAAAACCGGCGTTACAGAAACAACCATCCACGTGCCACTTGCCAAATAACATCCAAACATCGCAGCAATGATCTATCGTTTTAGTACCAAGAGCTGGGTAACAACATACGCCATTATCATTGCTTCTTGGGATCTATTCTTTAAAACCAGTGGAACACTCAGATCATATTTTTTGTTGACAAATAATCAGAAGTCAATATTTTTATAGGACATAAAATTATGATAAAATATTCGTGGTTAGCTACGATTTGTGTAGTAGCTTTGAATATCGTGGAATATCAGTATGCACAAATATAAGAACAGATGCAGTATGGATCATAAACATAAAGCAATTATGTCACTGGTCCGAAAGTTGTTTATTGGATATTTAAACTAGTGTACATGTTGCTCGAATTCGAGCAATTGCAAAGTATCACAGGAGTTAGTTCAAAACGAATAACAGTCATAATTACAATGAATTTAAAAGAGTCAACTCAAAGATTACCGGTGTGTAACTCAGACCATGTTGATCTTCGTTGTTATTGATAAACCTAAAGCATTCCGGCTGGTTTTCTCCTTCGCAAAATGCCTCGCTGACAACACAGGTCATTGATAGGGCCAATTATTGAGAACGAAAAGTCGTTTTGGGGTAGTGTTAGGGCGCATTGTAACCTAATAGTTGAGATTGTCCAGCGTCAGGTGCTGACTGTGATGCCTATTACGCGTCACTGTTCTGTAACTACGGCCGTTATCACGGTTACGCCTCCTGTCTATGTTTCGTTGTCGTCGCGTCGGAGGCATTTAAAAGAAAAAAAACAACAAACAAACAAATTATAGCTACACAAAACAACGATAAATGCACAAATTTAAGTTACAATCATGCTAACACGATCCGTCATAGCGACACAAAACAACGATAAATACACAAATTTAAGAGACAACCATACTAACACGATCCGTCTCGGAGGTTATGTTTACACAAACTCAAATAATAAATAAATGTACTCAATGCGTTTCATTGAATTGGAAAATAAATAACAACAATTAAATTATACAGCTGATCAAAATGTAAACAATTATGTTCTCCATAAGGATAACATGGGAACTTTCAAAGCCACTGGGACCGTGTCGTAACACTTCGGCCCAAGTAACACTTCGGCCCAGTAACATTTCGGCCCAAAACCCTCAGATGTGGCCTACAGTCCAACTCTCTACCTGCCCACTAGTAACACTTCGTCCCAACAAAATATTTGACAGGTTAGGTTAAGTTAGGTTAGGTTAGGTTAGATAAGATTCCACCGATTCTCCGTCATGTGAGGTCAGAGAATGCAAAGGGTGACGGTTGGGCGACATTCCACCAGAGGGTGGTTGCAAAGTATACAGGTCATGTACCTCTTACTACCTGAACTGCGTTCCTCAACCCTTGTCAATTTTTCGTCGGGCCGAAATGTTACTCCATTAGCTTATTTAATCGTCTGTAAAAGCGAGTGGGACGAAGTGATACTGTTTTTCTAAGAAATTTGAGTTTGGCCGAAATGTTACTGGGCCGAAGTGTTACTACATCACTGGGACAGAGCCCAAAGGACTTTTCAAAATTTAAAGACCAGTTTGCAAATCTACGCGACACGCTTTTTCCAATGATACGTCAATGGATAAAATCGGTTAACAAATGGTGGAGATGGGACTGTCAAACCAACTGTCACGGCTACGTCATCTGTTTATGATGATGAGCCATACCGTTTCTGTACATGTGGTAGTAGGCTATGTTATTCGTATAGTTATTTTAACTCATCTCGAAAGAGGAGTTAATATCGGTAATATTGGATACAACTTTAACTATTCGAAAGTCATTAACTACTTTTACAAACATATATTTTTAATGTTTTTTAGAACAGACACCACAGCTTTAGCAGCAATAAGGACATTGATGGAGCATGCAACAAAACATTAAACGATTACAAAACTACAAATTTATGTATATAAATATATGAATACAAGTGCAACAATTTGGTGCTAACCATGGGTGCTAACAGTGCATGCAAGAGCAAATCAAAAACAAACACAGCTAAGATATGACTTGACAAAGACATAGAATTAATTGCCTAATTAATAGATTAGAAAGGCAGTGGTAAGCAATGTCGTGGGTCTCTGCGAAATCAGCTGCAGTTTCAACAGCCTGTCAACATCCTGTCCTGTAGCCTACTGTCAACGACACCTCGGCCAACAAACTTCTCGTAGAATATGTATTTAGCAAAAAACATATTGCAACGAAAAAGCTCTTAGTTACTTCTCAGTATAAAACCTTTAATAATTATCGCATTCTTTTATTTGATTTACATTCATTGATTTTGTCAAGAATGTAATAAATTGTCTTTGTTGCTTACAACACAGTAAAGCTATATTTTTTTGTATCAAATTTACTACGAATTAGAAGTTTGCAATACTGGCCAAATTATCAGGTAAGGTAAGCAAAATTGTTAATTTTAATTGCTTACAAAATATGTTAACGAAGTTCATTAGTTTTATTAGCCATGTGGTTGTTATTTCCTCAGGTTAAAAGAAAAGTTTATCAAATTCAATTCCGAACATCTTATGATTTCCTTTATCAACGACTGTTTTTGTAGGCTACAACGATTTATATTTTGAAAGGAGTTATCTATAGGAAATATGATGCTGAATTAGATAGGCACGCCTGCAATAAGGAGCTAGTGGACCGAAGAACCCCATTACCGTGAAGACGACCAAGTGTGCGAAAAAAATAGCAAAACGCAAAACGAAGCAAAAGCTAAAAAAACTGCCAGCTGAGGAATAAAATCAAAACAGAACCTTTGCAATGGTGTAAATCCTGAATCTATACGGCCGCAAACGATTGTGAACTGTTGTCCTGTAAATTATTGTTTTTTGCAGAAACGGTTTTTGTAACATGAAAAATATATATTTCAAACTCATTTACTTTGTCCCCTAAGCACTTAACTTTCTAAATTACTCGTCGTCAGAATAAACAAAGGCCCAGGAACGTCTTTTTCCTTGTGTAATTAAATAATGACACCTAGGAGGTGCGTGAGGCGGAGAGGCTACCGGTGAGAATGGCCTTGACTTGAGGCTAGCCTGGTGAGGCCGTTGCCCGAGTATGAGGCTATGAGGCAACCCGGGATATTTACATATCCACAATGCGTCGTCACGGATCACAACTGGCCCTCGGACAAGGGATTGTTTTGGAACTAATGAAACTTGCATTGCGTAATATTGGAACATCGGAAGCTTTGGTCTGATAAAGGATAATGCTGGTGGTTTGTAAGGTTTAGGGGGAGGGTAGTTATGGTATACACCTTTACATTCCTTACTATAGTCTGTATGACGAAACCTATATTCGGACCGAGCTGACCGGTCAATGGTAGGCTGTCCCAGGTCGACGAAGGGCCAGAAGACAGGTTCATACAGACTATAATATGCACAAATGTGTTTATGAATGGACAAGATTAAAACAAGTTAATATAAAAATACGGACTGTAAACATTAAAACAAATTGTTGAGCGTGTAATTGATCAGCTGGTCCGGTATAATATTATTGCAAGTTGTACAACAAATTAGTTGAATTTAAACAATAGTACCTGGGGACCGAGCTATGGTTCGGTTAAGTTAAGTTTACTTTGGTAGAAAAGCAATAAAGGATACTCACGTTTAATTTACAACTATTTTTTTCTTTTAGTATTTAAGTTTCAGTGTAATTTCAATTTATTATGAAGGAAATTTTAACCTAGCAATCCATCCATCTTCCATAGGCAAGCATGTTTCTTTAAAACCTTTTTACTCAGCTCGTGTGCATCGCAGGGAAAATCTACGCACACTGTTGGAAAGATATATCCCTGTAGATGTGCAGAATCCCTTTAAAAATTAAAATAGGCTCAAATATAAGCGCAAAAAATTAATTTGAAATTAAAAAAAAATTAACATGAGCTTGATGGGTTTCCATACTGGTGAAGAAATATAAACACAAAATCGAAACAAATGGAATAAATTCCAATCACATGTTTTATTTACAGCGTGGGGGTGAAAATAGAGAAACCTTTACCTTTGAATTACCTTTCTATCACCATGTTAAAGTTGTCACCAGTTTTAACTAAATTCGTCGTAGTTGATGTGAGTCACCAACACATTGCGCTGATCTAAATTACTAATTTCTGTCTAAAATAACTAATAAATAATAAATAAACTATTTTTTACCATTTCAAACTTATGGAATGACTTATTATGAGATATAGCAAAAAAAAAACATTCATTTATAATAGCCCATACAATACTTGCACTTGCATAAACATAGTTTTGACTTTTTTTTAAATGAAAACAGCTGATTACTTTGGGGTAAGTTTTGGTAGGAGAGAGCCAAGTTAAATAATTAGTATTTTTGATCGAAAATTTCACATATAATGAGTACCTAAGTGTAATTTTTGCTAATATCTCCCTTTTTACTGTATTTTGTAATTTGCTAATATACTCTGTGGATGGCTTGTTATAACCACATGTTCATGTTACAAGTCTTTTGTTTACTTTATCCTTGTTGTTTTGTTCAGCCAACATGGGTACTTGGCAACCCATAAGGCCTATGTAACAAAATTTCGAATTGAATTTCATTTTTACGTGGCCCTAATTAGATTATTGCCGGCAGTTTTAACTGCATTAAACACGTTTTGTTTAGGACATAAATAAAATATTTACAACATTTGAAGGAAATCTTCGAAGCCGTTTTAGAGATCTTTGTGCTAGCAAGCAGCATACATACAAGCAAACATTGCTCATATAAGAGTATAGGATAGGATATCAATTTTTCATCACTACGGCATGATAAATATCTATCACCGCACATAAAATAGACCAACATTTTGGTTTCAAACACGGCCCATGTGTTGATTTTTGAGTTTTCATATGGTTTTCTACTTTATAGTTTTTTGTTATTTTTGTTTTTTGTTATTTTTATGTAGTCCTTAACCTTATTTAGTCCTTAGTTAAGTTCCTTAGTTATTTGCAAAACGAATTTCCAATAGCTTTAGTCTCTTTGGTTCAGATCTGTCCGAAGCATAAAATACATTAACTCAATGACCACTCTGCTTCAAATTTACACAAAATGTTGTTTTGATTATTTTCCAAAGCATAACATTTGATACTAGACAATAAGAAACTATGTCCATAAAAATCAATCTACACATAAAATGCCCTCTTCAAACCTACGTACTCATTAAACTGATTTTATTTAAATAGAGAATTAGTCAAATCAAGGAAATTAATAAAATTCTGATCAGGCAGATTGAAATTTGCTTAGTCTGTAGGTTTGCTGCGGTGAGCGTATTTATAGTTCGGTTTATACTAAATGTATTCATTGTTTTTATAGTTCTATTTGACAGGCTACTCACCTCATTGTTGACTGCAGCGTCGGCCGTGACTGATGCGAGACGGGACCAAGTCTTGTACAGAGTTGAAACATCGTTGGTCTATCGCCTTGGAGCACAAGCTGATCGTAGCCCCTCTCAAAACTTGCATTGTTCTACAGTACTTTACCGTACACTGTTACCTTTGCTAATTGATTAAATTGATTGAATGAATATCTAACAAAAAATTACATTTAACATTTTCTACAAAAAAAAAAAAACTCTCAAACTGCAGTGGTTTGTTGTGAGTTATACGGTTATACATAACTTAACTCAGAGTGATTAAATCATACAATTCTTCGTGCCGAGTAAGTTTTATCGGTTCTAGGTGTGATTAAATAGATAACGTAGATGCAAGTGCAATTATACCTTTGATTACTAATCGCACTAACGAGTAACGAGATCAATGAGACGAGCAACAAAATAGAACATTTTCAGTTAGTGGGCTGTACAATCGTCTAGTGCTCTGCGGCGTTAGACCTGGTCTGTCTGGTTACTACGCATGCGCACGGCTGGACACTCATCGGCGCGATGTCTGTAAAAAGCGTCGTTGTGCTTGCGTTCACCGACCTCCTATGTTATCATGTCTGCGCGATACTTGGGCTACCTTGGAATCCGGCGGTTGAAAAAATGCCGAGGTTAGACAATACTGATTTTATAATGGTGTATAGGCCTATGAAAATGTTTGGACGAGTGTTCCATTATGTTTTATCTCGGAAGAAATTATAGTTTTAGTGATTTTCCCATATATATAGGAAATATTACCGTAGGTCTCGTGTTGAGACCTAGAGCTGGGACCGATTTACTTTTTTGTTTTAATATTCCCAGAGGCTAAATCGCCAGCTGCATTTCTGTGTGTGTCCGATAGCACAGTTTTGTTTAAACGTGTTTAAACCTATGTTTATTCAAATTGGTTTTAAAGCTAAAATTTAGATTATAGGAACGGGGTTTTATGGTATATAAAATGGGGGTTCCCATTCAATTTATTTGTACGCATATTTTTAAAATAAAATAAGTTTAGTAGTCATACTTTTAGTTAGTAATATGATATAAATTTAAGGGGTTTTCGTTTTCATATTATTTTTTGTACCGGGGGATCGATAGCCATGGCTTGCTATAGCTTATTTCGATTGTAAAAGCAATCATAAAATAAATATAATATTATACAATTTTTATTTCACTGCTAAACCAGAGTTTACTAACAATTGCCTCGTTTTCCCTTTGTACTGTCCAGTTTACTAGGCATGCGGCCTCAGGTCCGCCAATTGAGCGGAGTAAGCAAGCTTTGATATAAACAAATAACTTTAATTTGATTCATGATTCAAATTGAATACATGATGACGTCACCATAGCAACAATCCAATTGAATTATCGTGGTTGGTTGGAAGAGTTGAAGGAAATATGAATCCAGTCAGCTGTTTCTATTAGGTCATTGATTTTCACTTGTACAGTATATATGAGTAATAGTAAAACTGTGTGTTTGTAATAGCATAAAGATAAGTATTATTTTGTCAATATCCTAATGTTTGTTTAGCTCCCATTTATGTAATAGGCCTATAGGCTTCCTTCTCATTTTCTCCAACTAAAACATTTAGCCAATTAGTAAACTTTGCTCAGCAAACAGAATGACAGAAGAAGGTGACTATATAAAGCAATACCATAGTCAATGGTCACCACAGGAAATAAGGCGTGGCTAATTTCACGAGCTGATGATACCCTGAAAGAGATGGTGGTTATCGCGACGCTAGTGGCATTGAATTGGTGACGTTTGCGCTAGTTCCGCCCCGTTGCCAAAATAGGCCTACTGTACTCAATAAATAGATTAGATTTTAAAGACGGCACTGGATAGAGAATTGATGAATTAAACAAGAATATATTTATTCCTCATGCTAAATTACAGCATCATCATGAAAAATACTGTATATGCATAATAAATTACCGTACAACAAAATTATTAAAATCAAATATAAAAGACGTTTTTATATTAGGCTATGGCAATTTAATTTGAGAACCTGCACTGTGTTGATGCTAAGCCTATGCTATTGGGTTGTACTAAATTTTCAACCTGACATAAAAATGCCAACATGCTGTTCTGTTAGCTGTAATAATTCATCTTATAGTAATTCCTGCTTCGGAAATACAGTTTCTATAGATTTCAATTTGAATACTCTCTTTTACTGTTTATAAACTAAGTACCTGGAGACCGAGCTTTACTCGATGAAAATCTTTTCCCCACTCTGCGATGCCAGCCTTTACTACTTCCTTCACCATTTCCTACGTCATTGTTTCCTTCCCTTCTCATAGCATTTAAGTATTACAGATACATTAATCTAACTGCCACAAACGGTTCCCACACCCTGCGATGCTAAACTTTACTACTTCCGACGTCGTGGACATGTTGTCATATCTTTACATTGCATTTTAGTATTTTAAATACATTAATCTAATTGCCAACAACATTTCCCACACTCCGCACTGCTAGCATTTACTAATTCTTTTAACCATTTCCTATGTCTTGGACATCTTTCCATCCCATCTCATAGCATTTCAGTATTTCAATTTCAGATACAGAAATTGAACTGTTACAATTAGTTTCCAGTTCCCAAACTCCACAATGCTCGCCTTTACTACTTCCTTTACCTCTTCCTACGTCGCGGACCTGTTTCCCTCCCTTCCCATTGCATTTTAAGATAGCAGATACCTTAATCGAATCGTCATAAACAGTTTCCACACTCCGGACTACTCACCTTTACTACTTCCTTCACCACTTCCTTCGTCGCAGACCATGTTTCCCTCCCTTCCCATGGTATTTTAGGATTGTAGATACCTTAATCTAATCGTCATAAACAGTTCCCACACTCCGGACTACTCACCTCTACTACTTCCTTCACCACTTCCTTCGTCGCAGACCATGTTTCCCTCCCTTCCCATAGCATTTTAGGATTGTAGATACCTTAATATAATCGTCATAAACAGTTCCCACACTCCGGACTACTCACCTCTACTACTTCCTTCACCACTTCCTACGTCACGGACCTGTTTTCCTCCCTTCCCATAGCATTTTAAGATTGTAGATACCTTAATCTAATCGTCATAAACAGTTCCCACACTCCGGACCGCTCACCTTTACTGCTTCCTTCATGACTTCCTACGTCGCGGACCTGTTTCCCTCCCTTCCCATAGCATTTTAGGATAACAGATACCTTAATCTAATCTTCATTAATAGTTCCCACGCTCCGGACTACTCGCATTTACTACTTCCTTCACCACTTCCTACGCCGCGGACCTGTTTCCCTCCCTTCCCATAGCATTTTAGGATAACAGATACCTTAATCTAATCGTCATTAATAGTTCCCACACTCCAGACTACTCGCCTTTACTACTTCCTTCACCACTTCCTACGCCGCGGACCTGTTTTTCTCCCTTCCCATAGCATTTTAGGATTGTAGATACCTTAGTCTAATCTTCATAAACAGTTCCCACACTCCGGACTACTCACCTTAACTACTTCCTTCACCATTTCCTACGTCGCGGACCTGTTTCCCTCCGTTCCCATAGCATTTTAGGATTGTAGATACCTTAATCTAATCGTCATAAACATTCCCCACATTCCGGACTAATATTTACCACAAAACTAATAGCAATAACAACAATTAAAAGAAATAATCTGCTTGGAATAATTCAGTAAGGCCGCCAGAAATTATGCGAATCGGTGTATTGTTAAACAACGCTTAATGGTATTCATCGGACTCCTTTTCTTTTGTACTGTCTTTTGTAAATAGGCCATATGTGCATGTGCAAGCTGAGGTGCCCGTGGGTACAGAATGTCGAGTTGCATACGCTACAATTCTTTGTTTACATCTACGTTGTTATCTCGTAACCATCATGGCAACTCATAAGACGCATGTTAAACATTGCAAATTTTATGTCAGTCTTAAATTGTACAGGTATCATCAAATTGAAATTTGTTTGTTTCGAAACATCAAAAATATTTGTCGAAATACCCCTGGTAAGTTTGGATTCAATATGTTCAGCCGTTATTGAGTTAATTGATTACATAGTTTGCATAAGGTCCGATCTCAAAGAGCTTCGCTCGCTTCGCTCGCTCCGCTCAATTATAATTTGCTACTGTGGATGACTTAATAAACACATGTTACAAGTCTTTTGTTTACGTGTTCCTTGTTATTTTGTTCAACCAACATAGGCCTAGATACTTGGCCTATAAGGTTAATGTTAAATTTTTAAATTTTCAAATGAGCTGTGTAGCGAAATACAAAACCTTCCCTAGGTAGTAGCTGTCACCAATCACGTTTTTAGGACAATAAGTCCCTAATAAAAAAAAATAGTCAAAATCCTTCCGCGGGATTTCGAGATGTAACAATGATATTATTACAGACAAACATACATAGAGACAGACATGAAAACAGACATAGCTTGTGTTAAGAGTAGAGTATATAAAAATATTTTCAATTTCAACGCATTAACACCAAAGCTTTCAGTTCCCAAGGCAAGGCACTGAGTTGAAATTGTATGAACCCAAGAAGGTTAAGTTCTGTACTCCAGTTGCTGTTTTATTCTTCATGCTGATGCATGTTGGTTAAACAGGTACAACAATTTATACACGTGTCGCCCTTTCGTTTGCTGAATTCGTGGAGTGTAAACAAAATTGTCGGTAAAATCAACAAAATATCAACTCGCAGCATTTTGTAATCATCCATCCAAATTTGTCATGTGATATCTGACAAGTAATGGCCAGATGGTTTAACAAATTGCAGTTTATTTTGAGCAAGGCAAGTATGATGTTCACACCGCTGCAAATAGCTTTATCACAACTGACCTTGTTCTTATTATTGGTGAGTTTTAATCGATAAATATCTACTAGTTTCAACTTATATAACTTCATCAGATAAAATAATACCATTTTATACCTATACAGGGTGTCCTGTAAGTAAACAGCCAAAATCCAGTTTTTCGGCAAATCTAAATGGTTTCATGAGTCAAAATAAACGAAGATCAAGAATAACAATTTTTGTTACATGCCTTGTTAGCGAGATATTCGCTACTGGTATTTTGTTTTTTAGTATTTAAAATGTATACCTCTAAATCTATTATAGAAATCTTTATGCAATTTGATTTGCAATATAAATTTAGCAATAGACTATTTTTGTAAAAAGGACATTTATAAAATACCGGTATTTGTGTGTTTCCAAATTACAGCTATTTTAATTACTAAACAATGGCTAGTTACGTATATAAAAAGAATTTCTAGAAAACTTGCATTTAGCATTAAATTTCTTATCAAACACCTTCAAGTTCAATAAGATTGAACAAGAAATAGCTAAAGAATCACCACTTTCTAATTGTAAAATAAATAAAATCCGTTATATATCCTATAATGAGGCTCAATGAGGTACAACTGGACTATCTTAGCTTCTTTTACCTCATTTTACAATTAAAATGGTGATTCTTCAGCTATTTCTCATTCAATTTTATTGAACTTGGTTTCATTTTATAGGAAATTTTATTTGCTAAATGAAGATGTTCATGGCATATTTCCATCAAACTATTATTACCATTATTCAATAATATAAGATATAAAAGTTAAAATGGTCACAATCTAGAAACCAAGCAATAGGTATTTTTTAAATGATTATTGTTTATGAAAACGTTTAAACTTATTGCTTATTTGAATCGTATGCCTAATTTCATAAAGGTACCTTTTATACTTTAACTGTACTTTTAATACTTTTCTTAATATTTTTACAGACAATGAACGGATGGTGTTTCATATTCAATAATATAAGATATAAAAGTTAAAATGGTCACAATCTAGAAACCAAACAAAAGGTATTTTTTTAATGATTATTGTTTATGAAAACGTTTAAACTTATTGCTTATTTGAATCGTGTATGCCTAGCCTAATTTCATAAAGGTACCTTTTATATTTTAACGGTACATTTAATACTTTTCTTAATATTTTTACAGACAATGAACGGATGGTGTTTCATATTCAATAATATAAGATATAAAAGTTAAAATGGTCACAATCTAGAAACCAAACAAAAGGTATTTTTTTAATGATTATTGTTTATGAAAACGTTTAAACTTATTGCTTATTTGAATCGTGTATGCCTAATTTCATAAAGGTACCTTTTATATTTTAACGGTACTTTTAATACTTTTCTTAATATTTTTACAGACAATGAACGGATGGTGTTTCATATTCAATAATAAGATATAAAAGTTAAAATGGTCACAATCTAGAAACCAAACAAAAGGTATTTTTTTAATGATTATTGTTTATGAAAACGTTTAAACTTATTGCTTATTTGAATCGTGTATGCCTAATTTCATAAAGGTACCTTTTATATTTTAATACAGTACTTTTAATACTTTTCTTAATATTTTTACAGACAATGAACGGATGGTGTTATATATCTAAGGGAAGACCAAAAGAAAAAAGTAAATTGGTCCCGAGTCTAGATATTACCATCAGACCTAAGGATTTTTATAGTGTATTCCCTAAATGGGATATTCACTTATATTTCATGGTACAGTGTGTAAATTAAGTAACGAAACAAATATGTATTTTGTAAACCGAAATAGATAGAAATATTTTGTTTGTGGCATTTATTGTTAACAAAGGTTCAGCAATTTTTTACATAAATAATGTTTAACCCCCCTAAAGGGTAGGTGGTAGGGGGTGGATAACCAAGTTAGTTACTATTTCTATCTATTTCGGTTAAAAAAAATACAGATTTGTTTCGTTACTTAATTTACACACCGTATGGTAAATTCGCTAAAACCAAACATTTTATAGGCGGAGAAGATAAAATGTGACCCTGTGGATTTTGAAGAACCAGCCAGTCCTCACCATCAGAAAACATTCGAACTGAAGAGTGGTGTTATCGCACATATGTTCATGTGGCGATATTCAGATATAGCCAATGAATGTGAGCAGTTTTTGTCCAAAAAAGGATTTGATGCTGTCCAAGTAAGTTTCTAATTCTAGCTATATATTCAAAACTTATATGGATCAAAATTTCTGACCGAAATATTTTTCCCTGGCCAACAAAACTTATTAGGCCTAATAAACTTTTTGTCAGACTAATCCTATCCTATAATACGAGCAATGCCTGTTTGTCTGTAATATATATCTCAAAATCCAACGGAAGGATTTGGGCTGAATTTTGGAATTACAGACGTATAACCCTATAAAACGTGATTGGCGAGAGCCACTACCTCAGGAAATTTCGTATTTCGCTACACAACTCATTTAAAAATCTAAAAATAGTAACTATGTGTTGGTTGAATAAAATAACGAGGTACAGTAAGCAAAACACTTGTAGCATATGTTTATAACAAGCTATCCACAGTACTAGCAAATTACAAAATATAGTAAAATGAAAAACATCAGTTGTATCTATTGAGCAAGGATTACACTAAAGATTTGATTGTTTGTGGATGCTCTAACTAAATGTACTAAACAAACTTTTTGGTGGAACAGTAGGCCTATCGCAGGAACTGTGAATGGTGCTGAAAAAAAAATAATTTGGTAAATAAAAGTCTAAGAACTGGACTTATGGGGTTTTAGATTGGAAAATTAAAGGAGCAGAAATAGATTTGATCATATAATTACAACAATAATATAATCCAAGTAAATTAATTACATTTGGGGGTTTTAATTTGCATAAAACTATTACCGTGTGCTAAAATCGCAATGAAAAAAGATTCAGAATCTCAATTTCTTTAGAAATAGTAGCACAAAAGCAAAAAATTGTTGTCACAGGCATTTGAAACTATTATGCTTTTGTTTATATCATACTTTTATCTGCTGTCATCAGTGAGCACTAAAAAAATTCAACAATATGGGTTTCAATGACTAGAGGGGAGACACATTTTGTGCACTTAAACTTAGTCAAGATCATAAAAGTGTATCTTATTTTTGTTTAATATTGTACACTTTTACTGAGTACAACATTACAGAGTTGTTTCTTATTTCAGCAATTAGTATAAAATGTGTCCGTTTACGATATTGTTTTAACGATTAAGCCCAATTAACCGAGCAAGGTTCGGTCATCCGGTACTTTCATGTAAAAAGAGTAAACAATCCTCTCATTTTCTTTAAATAGTTTCTCCGCCATTGTTACAGATCTCCCCCCCCTACAGACCATGTTGAGGCAGCTGGGCTAATGAATAGGTACCAAGTAGTCTCGTATCAGCTGATCAACCGGTTAGGCAGCGAGCACCAGCTGAGAGATATGGTTAATAGATGCAACAGTGTTGGTGTTAGGTCAGTATTTCTCTGGTTTACAAAAGGAAAACCCACAAAACACTAGGATATTAAAAATAACATTAAAATAAATAAATAACTCCGGCTTTAAACTAATTTATGGAGCTTCAAAATTCATCGTTTTAAAATAGTTAATACATCTACAAGTAACTAAACTCATTGAGGGTTCATTTGGAAACACAAGGACTTTGGAAATTCCGAATGCGCTAAGGGAACTTGAATCTTGTATGCAGATTGAGTCTTTGCTTTCAAAGCACCATGCTTTATAATGAGATTGTTCAAACCGACGAGATAATTGCCCCAGGGTGGAGTCCTAAACTTTATAGCAGTTGACTTAATAAAAACTCTGAATGAAGATGCCACAAACTGTGTTTTGCCTTATGCTATATTGATGATGTGGCAATCCTTTTGGTTGGTAATTTCAACGGAGCAATCATCAAAGCAGTTGGAATTTAAAGACTTATTTAATAGTATATTACGTTACTAGTCCTGAAAATAAGTGTTTACCGGACGAGTGTGGTCGTTCCCGTGCGAGACGAAGTATATATATGATATATATGTATATATATGGTATATATGATAGTAAACTATCGTACGTAACTCGTCCAAAATGTGTGTACCGGACTCGTATGGTAATCCCGTACACACTCGTCCAGTAAACACTTATTTTAAGGACTAGTAACGTAATATACTATTTTTAGTTACAATTCCGACCATGATACCAATACAGTAACACCATGAACATATGTAGCTTTAATGTTTGAAGTTTCATGACAAAAGAAAGGGATTTTCCTTTACTATTGTAACCATTTAAAACTTCTATCAACAATATGGGATTCTGGGTATCTATATAAATTAAATTACAGTTTTGTCTGTACCTTGCTTAGAATCATGCAGTTTTTGGTTATTTTTACGTTTCATAGCCTAAAGAAAGCTGAAACGAGTCTTATCTCAATTTCTGTCTGTATATATCTGTTTGTCTGTCTATTCTGTGACTCCGTCTGTGACGCCAAAATGTCATTTTACGCGGCCTACTCCTAGAAAACTAGAGTACCGATCAAGGTTCTAATCATTTTTCTGTATTTACTGGATTGGCGAGAGTGTCTTTGGCTATAAAAACATGGCCTCGCTTCTTTGAAAACAAAATAACGAACCATCAAAAACCCAATTTAGTTCGATTTTTTTCAAATTTTCTCTTCAAGGACAGTTGTGTAAAGTGCAAAGTAAAAAACACAACTGCAGTGGGTGATCGTGGATGTTGCTGTGATCTTGAAAGATCTTTCTGATTTCACTGTGATCGTAACAGAGGTTTAACTTACAGATGTAGCTAAACTCGCTTTTCCAATGTGTCACTTTTAGTTTCTACTTACTTACATTTCGACAACGATATCGGTACCTTTCCTACTTAGGAAATAAAACTACAAACACAGACAATAATGTATTATATTGTCTGTGCTACAAACGTCCAAAACTCCAGATTTGTGCGATTTTTGTCACATTTCCTCCGAATGTTTGCTAGATAGGTATATGTACCGATTCGTTTAGAGATTACGTAATATTTTTAATAAGAAACCTTTGTTTGGATAAAGGTGGTTTCTTGAAACTTTCATTATTAAAAGTTGCTTACAAATAATGATATTAATGGGAAATAACTTTGATTTTTGAAAACTTAAAAACCAAGGGAGATTAACTTCGGTACTGCACCACATCAAGAAAAAAAGTTTTTTTGAACAAACCACAGTGAGTTTTAAAGCTTTACGTTGTTAACGTGACATGTTAGGTACATGTTTTGTGACCTGTGTATTTATTTATTTGCCAACGTATTAACACCTATAATACAGTTTGATTAGAAGGACAGTTTGAATTGGTCGTAAGTACTATATAGTTCTTTTCTTCAATGTATACATTGGTTTTTGGTACTGCTACTTCTCCTTAGAGCCGGTGGTAGCAGTAAGAATTATTTTTACGTACAAACACATCACTATTTACAACTATAGTTATCGTTAGTGCTTCACCTTATTTCTTATTAAATTTAATTGCTTAATGTATAATTTTTGGCGTTTTCTGTCTGGTCTCTAAAATGTTGGTTTATACTATGAAAATGATAAAACATTAGTGAAAGATTTTTTTAGCAAACCATCATGAACTTTTAAAGCTTGGCGTTGTTAACGTATAAATGGTTTGCGGACTGTGTATTTATTTACTTATTTATATATTTGCCAACGGATTTACGCCAATTTTACAGTTTGATTAGGCCTAAAAATGATTATCATAACATTTTGATGACACTATCAAAACTTTCAAATAATTATTTTGTTTGTATTTTGCTTTGGTTAAAGCGTAGCAAATCCCCTAATTCAATTCTGTATTTGTGTGTGTATGTATGTTGTTAACGCATTAATGTCCTTATTTCTCAGTGTTTCGTGGAGGAAAAGACAAGAGAGCACCTTTGATAATGAAAATTTCAACCCGAATAAAGTGTGCAGTAGTGAGGTTGAGGTAGTATTTTAACTACTTTTTCCTGCAGTCACCCGACAAAGTTGGCTTCCTTGTACTGTTTATAGTTCAGAAAGCTGCTAATTGCTGCATATTTATACTTTGCCGTACGGTTTATACTTTGCCGTACGGTTTATACTTTGCCGTACGGTTTATACTTTGCCGTACGGTTTATACTTTGCCGTACGGTTTATACTTTGCCGCACATCAGGATTCCAACGAAACAACACAAAACAGCGTGGTTCCATTATGCACGTAATCCGTGTACGCTTGGAAATAGGTTGGCAACACTTAAAGATAATTATACTATGAACAGCTGATTGACTATTATAACTACGATTTAACCTGTCATTTCGTGTTTATAGTTTCGGTATTTCTGAACTTTCTGGACTTTTCTTTTAAACGTTTTTAAAACCTTCCTACGATCTTAATAAACAAGAAAATACCTTTTTTTAAGCATTTTTTTTAGGCGCGGAAACCACTTCAAATTACAAAAACATACAGAACTATATTCTCAAAACGCGGAGCACATTTCTTGCCGAGGAAAAATAGCGGAGTGATATGGACCGCGGGTACTACTTTCTCTAGGGCACCATTTGTGTTGCCAGCTGAACCTAAAAACGTGTTGCATAGTGTTTGAAAGACTGACTAATTATTTATATGCTTTATAGTGACTGTAGGAAAAATATAATGTGTAACACGAGTGAAAAAGGCCTTTGCTGCACTCGAGATCATTCCACACTCGCCTGCGGCTCGTGCGTAAACATTGCTCTCGTGTGCAGCAAAGTGCCACTTTCACCACTAGTTACACAGATAACTATTTACCGGTGTGAAAAGTAACTTTCAATTACAAGCCTACCTTAGGGCTATGCCTCATAGATCTATAAAGCAATTCCTTTTATCATTGGATATAAAATATGGACTAACACGATCGGGTGACATTTAATTGCGAAGAATTCGTTTTGGCTTTGAAACTGTCAGATATTGTATTTGCGAAGGTTTATTTGTATTCCTATACAGTAATAGTTTTGCCAGCATATCTGGAAAAATGCACACTAAATATGCAAACCAACTGCTGTTCTGAATATAAGGTTTCAAACTTACTACAATATTCCCGTACGTAGAACGGGCAAACAGCTAGTAGGTAAATAAAATGAGGGTTCTTTGTAAAAACAGAAAAAAACAACAAATCTCTTTTGCTTATACAGGGTGTTTGCCAATGTTGTATTCAACCATATGACGATAATGAAGGAAAATCTAGTTGGCACGGGAGGTTCATCTGTTTACCCTAAAGAAATGTATTACCCAGGTGTACCATACACAAAAGAAGACTTCCATCCACCCTGTGATATACCAGAGGATAAACCGGTAAATGCAAAACAGGTATGTTCAGACATAGACATATTTTATGTACACAAAACGTTCTTTATAAAGTACATTTCATACACAAGAACATGTGTTTCGTCATAGTGATGTATTTTATAGTAAAATTAATAGTTAAAATAATTCAAATAAACTCAAGTAGGATATCAGAGTTTGTATCTACACTATAGGGTTCTCCAAATATTTATCCAGTGAATAGTAGGCTTTATAAATTATTTTATCTGTTATTTGATCTTTGAATTGAGAAGCATTTACATTTTATAGATACAGGGGTAACTCATTGTACAATCTTAGACCCAAGTCCCATATATTGAGGGCTGTTCCTAAATATTGTCAACTTGTTATGGGGTAATCTGAAATTATATTTATTCCTTTATGTGTAAATTTTACTTCATCTGACAAATGTTCTCTAGTGTTATATATGCAATTTAGAATTTCATTTATGTATGGTAATCAAAAAATTGTGTGAATTCTAAGATTTTTAAACAGGTTTTTACATGATTTTCTCCTTCTTGATTTGGTTAAGATTTTAATGATTTTTCTCTGTATAATTAGTAGGGGTTTGACCTCCGTTGACACTCTCCACAGTATGATTCCATACCTCAATATGGATTCAATGTATCCATAGTAAAATGTGATACATGTATCCTGGGGTACTTACACAGTTTATCAGGCGAAAGAAAGCAAAAGAATTGATCTTAGTTTCCCTTTTATCTTATCCATGTGAATCTTCCAATTAATATGAATATCAAGTAATATACACCCAAAAATCTATGAGATTCTACTAAATTTTGAATTTTATCGAGAATTACACTGTTTTTTTTAAAGAAAATTTAATTATATAAGTTTTGTCAATATTTAGCTTTAACCCATTCATTGTCCGAAAACCAATTTTTTATACAATCCAAAGTGTTTTCCATTGATACAATTCAGTTATTTACTGAGTCCTCTCTTATGATATTGCTGTTGTATCATCAGCAAATAAGATTAAATCCCTGCCAATAGCTTTTGGAAGGTCATTATAAAGATCAGGACAACGTACGGTTAAAAACCGCACAGTTATTTTTTTAGTAGGTAGTGTAAAGAAGAGCATTGGGGCTTTCACACTGTACATTTACGGTTACAGCAGAAACGCGTCTTGCAGCCATCCACTGTCACTGAACCGGACGGTTGTCGCGGCGTGGCCGTGCATAAGTGGGGCATGTTAAATGCAAGAGCTACCTCACGGTTTTTAATCAAACGGAAGCCATAGCCAACCGTTCAGTGCAAATAGATTAGCGGTTTCAAGGTTTATCTTTTATACGTTAACGATACGGTGGCGGAAACTGTATTGTGTGAAAGGAGCGTAATGCTCTTCTTGTCACCAATAAAAAATTTACCTGTACAGTTTTTAACGTCTGCTTGTATTGCTGGATCTAAAGTAACGATAATTAATATTTTTACATTAAGAATTCATATATAGCCTAGTTGACTTTTATTCTTGCTTGTTTAGATGAGAGAGTGTCAAAAATTTGGTATGAATGACTTGGACCAGTCTCGTGAATCAGTAAGGGAGAAGATTGTGCATCATTTGAACCACTTGATAGAAATTGGTGTAGCTGGTTTTAGGTAAAAACTGGTTTTACTTTTAGCTTTCACACACATGTATATAACCCAAACGTAATCTTAGGTACAATTAGTGATGTGGGCCGGGTAAATACCCAGTGGGTACGGTATTTATGAACGCAGAGGATACGCGTCCGGTATTAGGCAAAACGGCAGATACTGTCATAACCTAACCTAACTCACCAATCTTGCTGATAATGAAAAAATTGAGTGAAGGTTAAATTTTGTTCATAAAATAAAATTATAAATGCATCAAATTCTAACAAAAGAGTTACAGTTAAGAAGAAATGGCATTACAAGCAATAGCAAAATATTTGACAGAAAGTCAGTGTCACCGATGGGATTCGATCTGAATACCCCTTGGACATCAGCCAAGTTCTCTATCCACTTCACTACAAACACCGATGGCTGCACTTTGTATCGTTAAGGTAATGGTGTTCCGGGCCCCCACAACCCGGTGACGTCACACCCGGACGCCTAAAACACGACCGGTTACCTGAAACGTATCCTCTGCGATTTATAAATGGGTATTACCCCAGGACATATAAACAAGTGTAGAACGAGAGTTATTAATTTTGTATTAGTGTGATTTAAACCTTATACAGAGTTTTAAGTAACTTATTAACTCATCAGCAATGTGTTTTGCCAGCTGGGGCTTAACCGGCTTAGAACTTCGACCACACTTTACACACTGACAGAGAACAGACGGAGGAGACCAGACAGATGGTAGACGAGTTAGCTTAGTTCCTCACCAGCACTGACAGCGATTATTTCGAGAAGTATTCTCAAGTCCTGAGATCGTGATTGTCCATTTTTGGGGAAGCGTAATTAACTTGTGTGATACTTCATATATAAAGTCTTTGATTTAATACACTAACTACACACTATACACTATAGAAGGGGCGGTGACAGGGCTCCGTGCGATGATCCAAATTCCCGGTAGACCGTATCGACGAGTGTCGTCTGCAACGAGCAGTGCGGCAACGACAGGTTTCACTGCAATGAGCGGGAAACCGATACAACATAGTGACAGGGGTCCGTGCGACGAGCTGGATTCCCAGACGAAAGGGATCTGTGTGAGAAACCAGATGCCCAGACGACAGCGGCAGCTGATGGGACGTACCGGTAAGACGTACTCCAGTAGCAACGGCGGGAGTTACAACAGACCCAGCCTGCAACCGGGCCAGGTGAGGCCAGATGAGCCCCAGCCTACTCCGACGAGAGGAGGGATGGAATGAGCATCAGCCGGCGGCTGTGACAGGAGGGCGGCCGTCAGAACACCTAACAGACCTCAGCGAACCCAAGCACCTGGCAGAATGTCGTGTGCTGAACACGAAAACGTTTTCGGGGGTGGCGACTAGTGTCCATGGAAGGCCACCACGTCTCACTGTGGTGCAAGGGGCAGTGACAGGTCCGTGAGGATTAATCCGGATCACGCCAACATCTTTGTGATGAACCAGATGCTCGAGATCGCCGACGCGGTAAACGGTAAACCTCAGCTAATGCAACGGCCCGGTTGAGTGTGATGTGAACATTACTCGCGAATCCTGGAGTACTGATTTGAGTTTTATTAAAAGAAACAATGGGGTACATCTACACATATATGTCGGGTGCAGGAATGCAATTTGTGAGGAAGTTTCCTCCAGAACACTAGGCCTTATCAAGGGTGCTAAGGGTCAATAAGTGAAAGACTGGGTATCTTACACTTCCATTTTATTCCATGATTTAGGCCTACCCTAACACATATGTTTCTATGTACAATTGTAAATACAATCTTGATCCTGGGTCCGTAGTCCTCAGTGTATCAGGTCTCTTGTTCAGGGTTTGGCAGAGGTTGGATCAGTTCTTGCGTACGTCCTTACTGGTCCCGTGGTCTACAACCCTCCTAAAATATATCCGTGTGGGTCCGCAGTCTAGATCCTTGGTACCTTCACCCCGGAATCCTCAGTCCCCTAGCTGCTACTCTCCACTGGAGACGGTTCTGGCTTTCCTGCACAGAAGTCAAGCTGGGCCAGTTTAATGTGCTACTGCTCTCCACTGGAGACGGTACTGGCGTCACTTGCTCAGAAGATAGCACTCTCTAGGCAGTCTACTCGGTCTGCAGTCCGACGTAAACTCCGTCAACAATTAACGTATACCTATGTATATGCTTTCAAGGTAGTGGGGGACTCCAAAGTCCTCCCCTCCATCTTCGACTACGGACCCCGCGAGGTAGCCCGCGGGCTCAACACGCCCGTCCAGCGGTACCCGTAGCTCAACACGCCCATCAGCTGTCCCACGGGTCCAACACGCCCATGCGGGGGTGCCGGGGGCTCAACACGCCCGTCCGACAGTGCCGGGGGCTCAGCACACCCGTCCGACAGTGCCGGGGGCTCAACATGCCCGTCCGACGGTGCTGGTGGCTCAACACGCCCATTAGGTAGCCCGCGGGCTCAACACGCCCATGCGGGGGTGCCAGGGGCTCAACACGCCCGTCCGACGGTGCCGGGGGCTCAACACACCTGTCCGACGGTGCCGGGGGCTCAACATGCCCGTCCGACGGTGCTGGTGGCTCAACACGCCCATGCGGAGGTGCCGGGGGTTCAACACACCCGTCCGACGGTACCCGGGGCTCAGCACGCCCGTCAGGTGTCTCACGGGCTCAACATGCCCGTCCGACGGTGCCGGGGGCTTAACAGTCAACACGCCTGTCCGGCGGGGTCAGGCCGGAGGCCCAACTGACTTCTCGATGCCAAACACCCTTGTCTTATACCCCGATCGGTACCCAAGTGGTGGGGGGTGTGTACCTTACCCCCCCCCTATCGGAGCATCTTTCCCCTACTTTGGAGTCATTCTTGTGCCTCCGAGTACTTTTGTAGCTTTAACCTCAAAATTATCTAGGGAGTCAAAAACACTTCTTTACAAATTTATGATTGAAGGATTATTATGGCAGTTTTTTACAAAATGTAAATTCAGTTTTCTTGTCGACATGAGCATACACAGTAGTTTGTAATTTAATAATTCTAGACTTAATAATTCTTTCAATAATCAGAACTGTTCTTGAAAACGTTATAGAAGAAAAATACTATATTAATGAAGCATACGTTTAAACTGTTTACATGATGATGATATTATTTACAAATATTCCAGCATAGATTCCGCCATTAACATGCACCCTGATGATTTGTCAGTGATCTACCAGAGAGTAAATCATCTCAACACAGAACACGGCTTCCCTGCAGAAACTAGACCTATGATATACCAGGATGTCTTAATTTTGGGTTCGTAATGTTGTTTGAAATTTAATTATATTTAACTTATTCCAGGGGCGGATCCAGAACAGAGTTTTAGGGGGAGAATTTAAGATAATGTTACTCTTCCAAATAATGTCTATTAAATCAGGAGTTCCTTTTATAAAGCGTTTATAATTACCTTCCATATTAGATAAAAAAGAACCAGACTGTGGGAAATTCATACGTTAGTTACATATGAAATAGAATAATAATAATAATAATAATAATATCAAACATAGTAATAGTAAAAGTTTTATTGCTTTGACAATATAAAAAAATGCACGACACACATTGCCTAAAAACACTTTTAAAATACAATTAATTCTATGACTTCCACTTTTAGCAAAACGATCATCAAGTTTCATAGGATCAACTGATCAACATCTATATCTTTGTGAATATTTTACAAACCTAACCCTACCAGTCTATTCTCTCTCATTGTTGACCTTGTTAGGTTTTTATGAGCCGCAGCATAGAAAAAGACCCTTCTGAGCTAACAGAACCACTGTAGGCAAAATGTTGTAGGTAATTGATGGTCGTCTAGCATCTAGCAGTCAGGAGGCGCAGGAATGTACGAGAAGCAGCGCAGTGCTCAGTGTTACTCACCAAACGAGAAACTACACATTTCACAAAAAAATGCAGACAGTATTTTTAAAACTGCAACACTACAATCCAAACCAAATCTTTCATTCTTAAAAAAGAAAATAATTTACTTCTATCCTGTCGAACTATATTTTAAATCTATGACTAGTTCAAATTTATAATCAGCTCTTGGCCTGGAGTCATTTTGTAGAATTTTTTATAATTTATTTTTATTTGGGGGGGTGGTTAATTTCACTCCCAGCTTGGATCCGCCCCTGACTTATACAATTGTCGATCTCTGATATATGTAGCATACAAAGTCAATTGTTTCTAAATTATCAAAGCACATAAACCAGGTGTAGCGATACTGGGCTCATAGGATCGATTTGAGACTCAATTAAATTCAGAGATTTCTTGTGCGTGCTACCATTCTAAGTCAGAATATTTTATTCAACTTAACTAAATATCTGAGCCAAGCCACATCTATATCACAGCCATTTTGATGATCTAAATTTATTAATGCATTCAACCAATTATACTAATAAATGAGAATAAGCTAAACAACTCCCTTCGCGCCTTATGGGCCCGAATGGTACGGTTATCTCAGTTTTCATAATATAAATATTTAATTAATGATAGAATCCCTAACCCCTTAGTCCCCTCCCTTTACTGAAAAGAATTAGAACATGATTAACATAAATGTAATAATTAAACTTAACACTATCGGTCTCATTCCCATTCCTCGACGACGTAATCTCTCCAGTGGTTCCAGGCGACGACTGCCCTTCTTCTACCCCTTCCCTACTCCCTCCAGTGTACGGGACTAAAGCGGATTGAACCAGTTGATAGCAGCGCGGCTGTGACGCGAGCGTCACAACCTCCCCGGCTTGAAAAAAAATTTTTTAGGTCAGACTAATCCTCATTTTATAATTTGTGACTTACAATCAAACCACAATCTTATGTACCAAATGGCAAATTTTTTAGAAGCACAGTTTAGTAACAAAGCATACCAATAATTTGGAGAATGTGATATTAATGTTTATTTGGTTATAGCGAATTTCCCATATAGGGAATAAGCTATTACCGTAGTACTCATGGTAAGACCTGGACCGATTTACTTTTTCTTTTTGAGGTCCCTAGAGGCCAAAAACACCATCCGTTCAAATTCATATATATATATATGTGAGGCGAAAAAGAAAAAGGGGCCTCTTCGCGGCAATTTACGATTTACTTTACACCTACTTTATATGATTTATGCATAACGAAAGTCTGTATAAGTATAAAAATGTATGTAAACACTAGCTATTAATATAGCCTACCCCAGAGAACCATTCTTAACACCCAACTTGCCTTTACAGTTGATTTTTCAAAAAATCATTAAAATTTACTTCACAATCTAGGTAGGTTGAACTTTACTTGTCATGGATTCATCGCAATTGCCCAGAACCAAGTGTTGTATATTCACCACTTCAATACCTATTGTCAAACTGATATGAAATGTTTGTGCTATGTTAGGGGATAATGTATTTGTTTAAATACTTAAATATCACTTCGGTCCTATTAGTGGTTATACCGTAATCGTTGTCACAATCTTTTTCGGTCCTTTTCATAAGTGCCGTTTTACATATGAAAACGGCACTTACTCGAGTTTCGTATAGTCCTTTTTTCTGGAACTTACTACATATTCCGAATACAGAACTAAATGTAGGTTCCGTTTCATATACTGAAGTGGCACTTACCTCTTTTCTGTATACCATATAATTTAATACTTATTCATTATAGCCATCGTTTAAACCTAAAAAAAAAACAATATTGTATATTATAGCATTTTTGTACAATCAAAGGTTTCAGATAAAATAAAAAAATAACTGTACATTTAAAATCCCCATGTTATTTTAATGGAGAAAAAGAAAGCTGTGGAAGTTTGATTGTTTATGGATATTATATTTTGATCAGAATTTGGCAAATTTATTTATTTTATCCTATACTATTAACATTTGATCAAAAGAAATTTAAGTACACCTAAGTAGGTCTACTTGTTAAATCTAATTTTATTTAAAGAGGAATAAATATGACTTGTCTATATAAAATTATTTTTGTTAAAATCCAATCAGACAAATTGAAATTCGCTTGCTAAGCAGGTTTGTTGTGGCAGTGGTATCTTTTACCATATTTGTAACTTTGTAAGCCTTAACGGTATAAAGATTATACAGGGTGGCCAAATAAATAGGTACGGTACTCATCATTTCACGGCAATTATTGATTGTTTATTGGCTGTACAATCTTATTCCATCTTAAAACGAAGTGCTCTACATGTTTTCCACAATTGTTTATTACATATTCCATTCCTCTGCATGTTTTCAACCATTCCTGAACATTGTTGTGGAGTAATGTAATCTATCGCTAATATAGGGGTTAATAAAAATATTACATATGGTTTCCCCAAGTAAGCCTAGAACAAGCCTTCAAACACAACTTCAAATGTTAATTTAGTTGGATGGACTCAAAGCAAACATGTTTGTTTTATTATTCAAAATGGGACTGTCAATAAAGGTCCAAACGAGATGTTAAGGCTTTTAGTATACGATTCAGGCTAGTGTCGTCATTGGATTATATTATTCGATCCATACCGTTTCTGTTCTAATATCTGTGGAATAATGCTACCAGCTATATCTTGATCTACTTCATTCAAAAGTCCAGCTGATCTTATGCCTTTGTTTATGTGTCAAATACTGCTTCCATAAGGATTACATTGAAACTTTGAGGGCCCATGGGGCGGATTCCTAAGAGATTTGTTTGACGCTATATCGATTTTGGCACTCACCGATGTGGTCTTTATCACCATGCAAAATTTGAAAACGATTGCTTCAGCCGTCTAGGAGAAGTTTGCGTATTACGAAATGCATAAGAGTCGACGTATAAGAGCTTCGCTCAATTATAAAATTATAAGCAGCAGTTTAGATGAGTACCTTTTTTGGGCTACCCTGTATAATAGGTACCATAGATAATACTAAAGTAATACTATGATAGATAATACTAAAGTAATACTATGATAGATAATACTAAATTAATACTATGATACATAATACTAAAGTAATAAATTGATGAATGCCACCTTCAACGAGAGCAGATGTGAAAATCAAACTGATATTATGATGATGTTTATCAATGATGTGTTCACAGATGGCACCGAGCCAGTAAAGTATGAGGAGTACACCCCACTAGGATTAGTCATGGACTACAAGTTTGGCCGTCAGTTGGGAAAGTTTTTCCTAAGCGAAAAAAATCTCAACTATCTCGAGAACTTTGGTTTGTTTAGTTTAGTTTAAACAGTAGTATGTTAATATACTGGCTGAGTAGTCAAAAAATGTTTGCCTAACAATCAAAATGTCGCCTGTTCAATCCTGAGAGCTTTTTTATAACTCGTAACTGGACCCGATCATTATGGGTTTATCTATCATTTATCCCGATCATTCTTTAACTGTCTTCGATTGGGCTTTAAATAAATGATCCTGACTGATGAAACAGCCGTTCTTAGTCAGTAACATCCTTCATCCTTCACTCATATTTTGGCTTAAAATACACACCTAGGTGACGTCCACAGATAATGATAGTATGTTAAAATAAAAAAAAATACCAATAGCTGTTAGAAGATAAGGCCTGTTGACTCTGCCGTGGACATGCAGACGTCTGCAGACTTATTCAGTGTTAAGGCCCCAGGCACGATACGAGCGGTGAGCGTTGAGCGGCATGCGAGCGTCACCAGAGCGTCGAGGGTGGTCACGATACAAGCTGCATTAAGAGCGCCTGTTTGAGCGGCTTGTACTTTTTGCTTGAAAACTGTCCCTAAAAATACCATATTTTGATGGATATTATTTTATTAATTTAGCTGACATGTCAAACGCTGCTCCCACTTCATCTCACAGCTTCCTTGTTAACTTAGTGTTCATGAAGTTGTTGTCTTTATCATTCCATAATGATGAACAACACAGAACCTCACATATCAATTTTCAATTTGACTATCACTAAGCTTTTTCAAAGCAATAATGTATTTTTTCTTCAGTTTGGCCAGAGGCCCACTTGGTCCTATCTCCTCTGACATCTTAAACTAGACTGAAAACCATGGGAAGATGCATGACTCATCTGAGCGTTGTACAAAAAGTGTTCTGCAGGACTGCTTTCGACGCTTAACAGCACCGCTGACTGCCGCTCGCCGCTCAGGTCTATCGTAACACCCCTCTTCAAATTTGCACGGCAACATATGGGGCACAATTGCAGATGCTGGTTTTGTGCCCGGGGCATAATACGTTGCCCGTGCACTGTTCACACCTCCGCTACGTCTGGCGGCTACGTAGCCGATGTGTTACAGACACTTTTTCCCCTGCCCCGTCCCACCAGTGCCATATACTCCATCCTTTTCATATAGACGAAAAGGGTTTTTTTTGTATAAGAAGTGTATAAATTGTGTTTGAGAAATAAAATTCATTTGAGAAACTTCTTCTTCAATATTAATTGGATGTTTCCATTTTTTAGGTTTTTGGGATATTGAACACAACATGCTAAGTATATGGAGTATATGGCGCTGGTGGGACGGGGCAGGTGAAAAGAGAAAAGCGAAGGGGGTTTATAGACTTTTAAATAGGTTTTGTAACTTTTTGGATCCTTCCTTATTACTTATTACAAATAGATGGATTTGAATTCACAACAACGCTCACGTCTGCCACATAACTTTTCTTTTATTTATTTGATTTAACGGTTTTTACGTAACAATAAACGATCAGTCATTATAGAGCTTAAACCAGCAACAAAAGCAAACAATTGTTACCTATTCATCCATTTTGACACAATAACAATGTGATCAAATTAATATGACAGTGTAAATGGCAAAACATGTTTGTAATATTTTACACAATATTATTTTTTTCATCATCTATGTATTATAATTAACTAGCGTTACCCGCAGGCTTTGCCCTGTTTGACTTCTGGTATTAATAAAATTATTAATTACCATACCGGGTTGGGTGGCATTTTGAGTGACTTTTCATGGTTACTTCGAAGAACAACATTGGACTTACAGTAATAAGCTGTCAGAGCTCATTCAAATTAAAATGACTATCTCCTGGTTTTGGATCTATTCATGAAAAAAAATCAGCTCAATTGGTCAAGTAGTTTTCACGTTATTGACATACAGTAGACTCCCTCTTATCCAGACTCCTCGGGACCGAGCCCAGTCCGGATAACGGTTTTTCCCGTTAAACCGACGTCCCCAAAACCTCGTTAAAACGGATTATTTAAATGCATACTCTATACAGTATTTGACTTAAAATTAGGAGAGCATTGTATTTAGACACGTAATCACTGGTCTCAAATCTTTCCCACAAGAACAGTCGTTTCAGTACCGCCCACTTTCTGCCGATCTAGTCCGGTTAAACCGATGTGCTGATAACAATTATCCGGATAAAGAGATGTGACTTCTACCGATTGTAGTCCGTTCAAACCGATTTCCGGTTACAAGGTGTCCGGATAAGAGGGAGTCTTCTGTACTTCAAACATTCATATCTATAATATTAGTTTCTTCCATCGAAGTCATTGACTAACAAGACTACAAGATCGCGCCACTCATCCTACACTCATCTCGATTCATACTTGGCTTAAAATACCTACTCTGTATGGTCGCCATTTAGTATTAAAAGTATTAAAGACTTGATCAGCAATGCACTAAAATTATTAACAGGCTACTCCGTTTCCTAGAGATTATTTTTGGAGAAAACAAACACAATACTTTTTTATACAAAATTGAAAAAATAAAGTCAATAAGTTTATGAATTATGCACTTAAAAATAAAATTACCCTATTCACACAACACCACAGCACAGCAATTTAGTATATCATTGTGTATCACAGTTTTTTGTTGCTGCTTTGTTCAAATGAGCTGTTATCATAAATTTAAACGAAAAGTTAATAGTGCTAAGTTAAAAGTCACCCGCGGGAAATGTTCTCGTCGATATCCGCAATCGCAGCAAAAGCGTAGGCCTAATCTTTCAATTTCGTGAGCGTGATCCCTCCAGACATAAAAGCTTTTACTTTTAATTGGGCATTATTGTATTGAGTACTGAGAAAATCGGCTCGAGTTAGATTTTCTGACTTTGTGTTTAATCTCTCAAGCTTATAGGCCAGAGTGCCTATCTATTTAGAGCACACTTTATGTACCGTTCACTGATATCATAGCACACGTTGTAGCATACTAAGCTATTCAAAACAGTTTTCACTATTGTTGTTTGTTTGATTTAAAACCAGGCTCAGAAGCAAGTAACCTGTCCAAAAAACAAAGAGTTGTGTTTGTTGAAGATTATATAACGGAACGTATCGGAGACGTCGCCTATTTGAACTACCAGAATCCAAAACGGTACAAGGTTAGAATTTACTGTGTTTTGATTTATTCCGCTATTTAATAAAATTCATCATTTTGTAGTTATATTTTATATGTCTTTTTCTTAAGTAATAGTTTTTACTATTTATCTGGGGATGCTAACCATTATCCAAAAACTTATTAACATAAATTAAAACATAGGATTCTTGGATAATATAAAGCCGAGTTTGATTACACCACATTCTCACCCCCCGCCACTTATGTAGCACTTGACCAGTTAAATTGTAACACAGAAATTCTGTATTTTTCATGTTAAAATTGTGTATCCGTTTATAAATAAAAATACCCCCACCACAGCAAACCTGCTGACTAAGCGAATTTCCATTTGCCTCATTGGATTTTCACGTAAATACTTCTATATTTTTTTTATTTATTTATTGAGTTACATGTCAGTACATCATAATAACAGGACATATTGTCAATGGTTAAATAAAGACTTAAAACTAATAGATAAAACCATAGACAAAAAGAATTAAATACAGACCGCCAGCCGTGCAGTGGCACAGAAAACATACTACTATAACCCAGAATGCCAACCGCATGGTAAAAAGCAATAAGTGTTTTGAGAGAGCTTTGCCTGTCAATTCGTAGGCAGCGCCACCAGCGTTGCTATGCTGAGTGCATTGCAACGCTGGTGGCGCTGCCTACGGATTGACAAGCAAAGCTCTCTCTCGAAACACTTAATGCTTTTTACCATGCGGTTGGCATTCTGGGTTATAGTAGTATGTTTTCTGTGGCAGTGGTTACCATAGGTTGTGGCACACACCGTTGGGAGTTCATGCCCCAGTCACGTAGCGCGTAGGCCGCAACCACATGGCGCTCCCAGCGGCGCACGCCAGAACCCATTGGCAAGCCTGGCTTGTATTGTGTGGCAGAGTTCTTTACTTGTGGATTTTGAACTTTACAATTTTTAAGTTCATAGAGTGTTACTCAAATCTTATTGGTTATGTTCGTTTTCTATGAAGATTGCCGTTTACATTGATGTATGGACGACGTTGTAAGTAGCTTGCAGGTGATTGAATAACTTTAATCTAGTGACCTCCTGATTTGATTGAACTACCTTTAATCTTACATATGGGACATCAAATTTGTGAATTTGAACGAATGGTGTTTTTGGCCTCTGGGGACCTTAAAACGAAAAAAGTAAATTGTTCCCGGGTCTAGGTCTTACCATGAGATCTGCGGTAATAGCATATTCCCTATATGGGAAATTCGCTGAAAGGGCGCCATAAAATAGTATAAAATGGTATATGCACATAAAACAACAGCTAGGTTTCAGATACAAAAGGATACACACGTTATGTTACGTCTATTGTATTTTTAATTTATTCATAATAATTTTAAGGCAAGAGAAACTGGATTTTACCAAATGTTCAGTCACTGAAACACCATTGTAATCCAAGCAATTGCAGTATCTTGAAACTTTATTTAAGAATTAGTAGGAGCTTTATTCTTTTTCCTATTCACAGATGGCAGTGATGTTCATGTTGGCTCATGGAGATTACACTTCCAAGATATTTTCGAGTTTCCAGTTCTCAAAATATCGTCAAGAACCTTCTGATCTACCTCCACGTCCTATCAAGAAAAACATTTGTTCCAACGGTTGGGAGTGTCAACATCGGTGGCATCAGATATACAGCGCGGTGGAATTCCACAACGTCGTACAAGGTAAAATGCAAAAAAGAAGGAACGGAACTGATGTGAATGTTATCTTATAGGAAGTGTTTTTACTTTATCCCCTTGTACATATTCTTGTACATATTGTACATATTGTGTATGCAATATATGGAGAAAGTCTTGTTGTTCTGTAAAAATACATTTAGGTTTGAGTTTCGGGTGGAAATATCCGTTTTGGAACCCCCTGAACCCAAAAAAGTGGTTTTAGAAGTGATGTCTATGTGTGCATGATTACAGAGTGTATATTTACAGACTACACCTGTCGTCCTGGTGATACTGTTATCCTGATTGGTTAGTGCGCTGATGGCTGGGCATTTTTTTTAGTTATAAAAATTAATTTAATGAGTTTAAAGAATTGGTGGAAATTTGAAATGAAAAACCCTGAGTTCACTGGTTATGCTGATTTAATAAGAGATGATAAAAGTTGAGAATACACAATGAATTTAATTAAATTGAGAAACGCATAACTTTTAGTGGACTGTATAAATGAATAATTTACTAGAAAAATGCTAACAGAGGATGCTGTATGAACACTGACTGTTACCCTCATAAAACATCCCCAAGCCCTGACGGGGCAAGGGAAGGGGTTTTTAGAAAGTTACAAATTTGGCAGGAGCTCTATAACACTGATATTTTTAGAACTCTTAGCATTTCCTCTCCAATCTTGCTTGTTTAGGAGCTATAGGATGCAGAATGTACACAACAAGCCACTTTTGCCAAGATGTAACACACACTGTTACTCTTAACGAGTACCTAGCTTTAACAAAACATGTGAACAATAACAAGTTTTAAAATTGCATTTACATTCCAATACAATCATAAAATACAAGATGTTCGTAAAAAATTTTAAAGTTAGTCGCCATTTTAGAAAAGTGTAATTTATATTTTGTTATGTTATAAGAAATTAGTTGAAGTTTTCAATTATTTGATGTTTTGTTTAAACCTATCTATATATATTTCATTAAGTAAGGTGATTCTTTGCGTCAAAATTGTGAGCGACTGGAAAGTCAAAGAACATTTGGATTACTTATTAACCAGTCAATTTTGCAATGTACCGTACCATATAATATATAAACCATGGATAACGTTATATACAGGGTGTTTCAGTAAAGCGTAGCGGGCTGTGCAGATTCAGATTCTACATGCATATAGTATATGCATATAGCTTAGTTAAGCCGTAATCCGCCATTTTGTATTTTTTTGAAAATAATTAACACGATATATGCGACGCCGCGGTCATTGCCACAGACCGAGGTATACATTTGAATCTTACACATGGACCGGCTGTCACTTGGTTAACATTACACACAGACCACGGGCGAAAACCTGTAAAACAGCGATAATTTACATTGTAATACGCTACAATCATGTTTGTAAATAATTTATTCTTGTTTTTTTTTATTTTGTATAACCTTTTGTAATGTTGCATATTTGCGACGCCCGGTCTACAGCGAAGACAATAGTGAAAATTATCATAGTTTTATTGAAATAGACCAAACGTCACATATATGCGACAGTCCATTTTTGTTTGTGTTTTGAGGTGAAAGTAAGTAAACAAAACAGATTATTCAAGAACAGTTTATAACTGAACAAATATAAAAGCTACATAGGATAATGCAGCATACATACTGCATACATACATACAGTAATGCAGAAAAGTAAAGACCAGTTTTTTCAACTATCATTATGACGTCACCAATCATCATAATCACAGACCGAGCGACGCAGTTGTAATCAGACATCTCTGTAGACCACTGTTACAAAGATATAAGCATTTTAATAAAATTAGAACCCCGACGCAAATATGCGACGGCAGTCTATTTTAATGTGACTAGCCATCGCATATATGCGACGACAGTCTATGAGTGGAAACCGGCCGTCGCATATGTGCGTCGCTGGTCCATGTGAATGGAAAATTTCATACTATTGCAGTAGGGAACGTGTTTATAACTCGAAAACCCTTGGAGATATTTTTATGAAACTTTGTATACACTTTAAGTCTATAGGTAACATTCTCCGAAAATATCTTTGATCAGGCTCATCAAATTTCAAAATGGGGGCTGGGGGCTATTTAAAATTTTGTTTTAATGGCTGGTTTTCATGGAATTTTACTTTACAAATTTTAAATGGCCGCCATTTTGAAATTTGATGAGCCTAATCAAAGATATTTTTGGAGAATGTTTATACCTATAGACTTAAAGTTTATACTTAGTTTTATTAAAATATCTTCAAAGGGCTTTTAAGATATTAATTATTTTCCGAAAAAAAAAATACAAAATGGCGGATTACGGCTAAACTAAGCCGAAATAAAAAAAAGTTATTCTACATTTTTGACTTATTTTTGCATGTAGAATCTGAATCTGCATAGCACGCTTTACTGAAACACCCTGTATAATTAAGTCTTTTCGGTCTTAGAATGTTGAAATAGTATACGTTACTAACCCGGTAAGTGGTGTTTTACCGTACGAGCACAAAGCCGAGTGCGGGATTTTCGTGTGAGTACGTTAAAGCCCCACGAAGTAAAAGTGGAGTGGCTACGTAAAAGTATCTTACGAAATATCGAAAGTAACGTACGCTACTTAACATCATAATACACCGAATAATTAGTACATTTTAAAAGCATAGTGACTATTATTGGAGTGGCATTATTGCTGTAGACAAGGGGAGAGATTACGGTCTCATTATTGACCCAACAATTCGTCTCGAGACAAATGAAAGTCAGCCAAAGGAAGTTCATGAAGACAAAGTGAAGATATATAAGAAAACTATCCCCTATTATTAAAAAAATATAAAATATCAAAATTTTAAGTTTATGGATTACTTATTAGTTCAAGAGGAACACTACCAGTCCAGCAATTTTTGAAGAAATTCAATTTGGAAAATCAAGTGTTATAGCCTATCTATTATGTTTGACAGCCCTAAAATGTTCTATTAACATTATAAGAAACCATCTTCATAACAATAATCATAATAAGGTTTTAACAAAGGTTTTAACACACATGTAAAATTGTTATGTCATTTTAGCGAATTTCCCATATAGGGAATAAGCTATTACCGTAGTACTCATGGTAAGACCTGGACCCGGGACCGATTTTTTTTTCGTTTTGAGGTCCCTAGAGGCCAAAAACACCATCCGTTCAAATTCATATATATATATATATATATATATATATATATATGTCCGTTAGCGCAATAACTCGAGCAAAAATGATCCGATTTTGATGAAATTTTGTACAAACGTGTAAACCTACGTTTATTCGAACGAGTTCGCGAACCAGCATGATCGGACCATGGGAACAGGGGTTTATGGGGGCTTTTATGGGGTAAAAATGGGGTTTTCCTATTTTTGACCCAAAAAACATAAAATTTTGAAATTTCTTTCCAAACTATTTTGTAGAGCTTAAAAAAACAAATAATTTAGTATATTGAAGTGTTATAATGCGCCTAATGGTTACGGAGAAAATTCAAAAAAAATGTTAATTTAAAATTCCCATGTTATTCTTATGGAGAATAAGTAAACCGTTGTAGTGTGCTTGTTTATGAACATATTTTGATCAAATTTGGAAAATGTTTTTATTTCTTACTAACTATTAACATTTTACATAAAAAAACACTTTTACCCTCCCTGTTGCAGCAAACCTAAGTATGTGTTAAACTGATTCTATTTAAATAGGGAATAAATGTGATATTTTTAAGGAGACATTTTAGTCTAAATCCAATCAGGCAAATGGAAATTCGCTTAGTCTGCAGGTTTGCTGCGGCGGGGGTATTTTATACTTTGTTCTACAGCAGACTACAATGTGTAGGAAGATGTTAATTTTTAAAATAAATTTTACCAGTGGTTTGTAACATCCCTTACAATCTGTTTCTGCATTGGTACTCTCAGACCACAAAATTCTGAACACCTTTTTCTATCACTACGTAGAAGCTATCACTAAGATAATTTTTTTCATGAGTTCAATTTTTTCCTAGGTACACCAGTGACGGATTGGTGGAGCAATGGCGTAAATCAAATTGCTTTTTGTCGGGGAAACAAAGGATTTGTGGCTTTCAACTTGGACTCTGTCGAATTAAACAAGAATCTCCAGGTATTAACACCGGAAAAATGTTATTCCGATCCAAATATTTATCTCAAATGACTGTAAAAGACTGTTTTACATTTGTATTTTTACTTTAATGAAATCTGCTTTATTGTATAATTTAGAAAATATGTTTATTTTGTATTCATAAATACTTAAAACTATGTTCGGTCGATACTAGAGATATTAAAATCAATGAAATATTACAAAATTTGCTCTTAAATTATCAAGATGCTCTTAAATTGTCAATTGACCGAGGCAGTGCAATGGTTTTAAAATTATTGAAAAACACAACTTTAATTAAAAAATTCAATTCTGTAACGACCTCCTACCTATATCCAAGCGCTTCCCAGATAACAAGCTAAAACTAACCAATTCCTCCCATTTATAAATTGGTGGCGTTATATTTTATAAAAAAAAATCTTCCCAGTCAGAAATGTCTTGTGTTAAAAATTTGACACATAGCAATGAAAGGATGGGCTGTTTCATTTTCATTTATGTAGTTTGCTTCTATGCAGCACAGAGGCTCCTCCCACACTGGCATCATTTGTGAACAGAATGACACAAATTGCAGCTCTGTAACTGTTTTGTAGGCGGTGTGTTAAAAGAAAATTGTAAACCATTGAATTTCCCACCACCATGTCCGAGGTAAGGTCAGTGATACGTTTATTTATGAAAGATACGGATCCGTTGCCAATATCCATCGCCAGATGAGAGTTTACGACCCTGATGCAATGATAGTGTAAAAAGTGCATAAATAGTTTGGAAAGTTTAAAAATTGCCTTGAAAATGTTCATTTAGGATGGAATTGTGTTTTTGGTGGGTACCCAGACTTCTTACAGAAGACCACAAAGGAACAAGGTTTTCACTTGAATAAATTAATAATGTGGTACTGTAATTGTTGTTAGATAACCACGAATGAAGGGTACAATCTAACTTCATAGTATTGTCAATGTATTAAAATCTAAAAATAATGGTTTCAATATACAATCATGAGAAGAAAACAGAAAAAATTAATAGACATACTGATATTTACCGAGAACCAAGTACAAAAAATTGTACCATCCCGACCTTAAATTTTACACCTTATTTTTAAATTACTGCAGACCCCTAGCACGGATATTTTTACACTCCACAGACCATTTTTCCTCACTTTACCTTCACTCATTGCATTAGGGCTATAGGCTATAGCCTGAAGTCATGCCATTCAGTCCCGACCAAAGTCATCTGAATGAATGCAGGCAATGAATGTCAGCAACACTGACCTTACCTCGGATGGGGCGAGAGATTTGATGGAAAAATTTTTTTTAAACACAGCGAAGCGTAAATGTCAGCTATAGAGCTGCAATTAAATTCATTCTGTTCACAAATGATGCCAGTAAGTGGTGAAATGTTATCTTTTTGGTCGAAAAGGAGAAAAAAACAAATGTTCACCCCATAAAACCCCTGCTCCCACAGTACGGTTATGCTGGATCGCTAACTCATTTGAATAATTGTAGTTTCACCCGTTTGTACCAAATTTCATTAAAATCAGATGAATTTTATTCAAGTTATCTTGCTAACAGACACACACAGTAAATGTATGAACGGATGGTGTTCTTAGCCTCTGGGGTTATCAGAACGAAAAATTAAATCGTTCCATGCACAGAGGTAAATCCGAGCCCAGCCATTGAAGAGTACCGTAATGCAGACCCGTTAATTCTAAGAAAAGCTGTAAGACAGCATCGTCAATTGTGTTCCAATGTTTGAGTTTATTGAACATTATTATACATGCAATGCAATACTATATATTTATGTTAACAACCCATATTGTTATTGTTTCAGACACGCCTGCCAGAGGGAGAATATTGTGATATAATATCTGGAGAAGTTACAACTACAGGGTGTTCTGGCAAAACAATAAAAGTCGGAAAAGACGGAAAAGCAAGGATACTTATACCAAAGTTCGACCCTGCAAGTGTTGATGATGGTTTTGTGGCAATCCACATTCAATCTGGAATTGTATATGAATAAGGGAATTGGAGGAAATCTGAGATGTAATTTATACAAATGAAAATATATGAAATAAATTACATGGAATTTTTCATTGTTGAATTATATCTTAGCAATCAATACATAGCTCAATATTACACTAGAAACTTTCCTATCACTATTAATTATTAATTAATTAGGTCAAATGAAATCCCTTACATCAAAGAATATTTAATGGCTAGACTGAACTGCAAGCGTTAATCAGAACTGGAGATGTAATAAAAATTATTTTTAAAAATCTACGAAAGTACGAAATGTCCATAAGAAATGTATGGGGGAGAGTTTTTGTTTGAATATCTTCAAATGGTAAACAGATATTTAAAAACAGATTTCGGCATTGAAATCAGCATGAAAATCTAGTTTATAATGATGTGTTACAACGTTATCATTACATTTACATTTTTTATTTATATCCAATATGGATCCAATATAGTGGATCCAATATGGCGGATCCAAGTTGGCGGCTAAAAAAGAGTTCCCTATCGAAATGAAGTACTAACCACCCTATAAACATCGGGGCTGGTTGTCATCCCAAGTCAATATCTCAATGCATGTGGTATCTTTTTTTCAAATTTGTCCATACATGGGAAAAGCCGCCATTTTTAATTGTAATTTTAGGTAGTTTCCTATGGACCAATTTTTGGCAACTTTTAGTATGTCACTCTGCAGACCCAACACTACAAAACAAAACCATAAAACGTTTTCTTGCAATTTTTTTAAGGTCATATCCTATATTTCTCTGACTATTAGGTGAATTATGCAACTCGCTTCCGCACATTGCACAACATTCACCTGCGTGATGTAAAAACGCTCTTACTACACTTGTAACGAGTTATTTTCCCTAGGGGGGTATATTTTTGCTATTTGGCCGCGCACCGATTGTTGAGGTGAGCGAGCGGCGGCAGCGAGGCTAGCGAGCGCCCTTTGACCCGGCTTATCAGTGCCGATAAGCCTGGGATATCCTAGATCTTCAGGACAGTATAGGAAGGACATTCTAGCGGTGGATCTCGGACAGTCAAGAAGTGAGTGTTGGTGTCGTGTGTCTAGTGAGACGTCCAGTGGTGTACGTGACAGTAGTGTCGGAGTATGCTGGTGGTGTGATCGCGCCGAGTGTTGGTGTAAGTTGGGTACAGACCCACTATTGGTGAGTGGACGACGTTCCTTACATTTTGGTTTAAGAGCTGATAGTTGTTACCAAAACATTCATCTCTGATTTCATTGGTTGAGTTGTAACCGTGCTAGTCAAAGCCTGACGATAGTTAGGATTTATATTAGTCAGGAATAATATTAAAGTGTATTCCTGACGGTTCTGGGCAGGTGCTAGAGCGCAAATAATATAATTAATTGACTGTAGTAGATATTATTTGGCGTTGTACCTAGAGTTAGTTATATTACTAATAACTCGGAGGCCCGACAAACCTAGGCTGCACGATTTAGCGTGCGTAGTTGGAAGCACGAGGCCAGTAGGCTAGTAGCTAGTTTTATTAGCCTATTAACAGAAGCCCGGCTAAGCAATATAACGTTGATATAGTAGCAGTAGTGGTAGTAGCAGTAGGGTTGGTATTGATTAATCATTTAATTATTTTAATTTAACCTGAACAGCTTGCTTAGTAATCCAACACGTTAGCTTGGTAGCTTGGATAGCGGAGTACCGGCTATCAGATAATATATTTATCTAGTGTTTGGAACGTATTTGATATTTGTTTATCTGCTACTAAGTAGCTCAATATTTTAATAGTGCAATTGCCATTTAGTTTTGCTTGTTTGGCTTGGTATTTATTGAGACCAGCTACTAGTGGTGTAGTCACTCTACCTATAGTGTACTTGTATATTATTATGTGGTACGATTATTGAGTGAACTGTTTGATTCTTAGCTTGGGCATTAGAGTTGTGTATTGGATTATAGTGGCCTAGTAGACCCCGCCTGGTGATAACACGCGTTGTGGTTTTTATTGGCAAGTCGTCGTATAACTCACCGTGTTTTAGGCACTCTGGGCTTAACTATTGGATAGTTAGGACGAAGCCCGAGTCGCGTAGTCAGCAACGACCCCCTAGGAGTGTGGAGAATCGGCGTAGGCCTGGTAGTGATTATTGCACGTTTGTTGTGGTGACTTGTTTTTGACTTGTTCACAGTGCCCGTGTATGAGCCAGTCCTATACCGGTTAGACCCGGCTATTGGCCTAGTGGTTTCCCTGACCTTATCGCAGACCCTGGAACAATACCCAGCCATCATAGGCTGAGCTATCCCCGGCAAACGGTTGCGACTGCGACTGCACTTTTAATATATTTTCTCGGTGCAGAAAATAGCGTCGCAAGATGGCGCCCGAACAGGGACTGAGGTTGGCAGTGGTGCTGAGTTGCTGACGTATTAACGGCGCCCGAACAAAATAATTTTATTTGTGCAGATTAGCTGCGGACTTGTGCAGATTGGCTGCGGACCTGAGCTGTTGAGCAGAGTTTTAGGCAGACCTGCTGTGATTTTATAGTCGGTTGGGTAGGCCTAACCTGTTTTCTGTTACAGCGTGGTGTGTTGTGAACCCTAATTTATTTAGTGGTTGTATACATAGATATTAGTTGGTAAATATTTTTTTGCTAATTAATTGAGCTTTAGTGTTGAATACTATTTGAGTGAGAACCCTTATTGTGCATTTGTGGTTTGACTTTCACACCTATAATTGGGTTGATTTATTATTTTGCTAATTAATTGAGCTTTATTATTGAATATTATTTGAGTGAGAACCCTTATTGTGTATTTGTGGTTTGACTTTCACACCTATAATTGGTTTGATTTATTATTTTGCTAATTAATTGAGCTTTACCATTGAATATTATTTGAGTGAGAACCCTTATTGTGTATTTGTGGTTTGACTTTCACACCTATAATTGGTTTGATTTATTATAACGGTGTTAAATATATTTTAATTGGTTTCGCTCTTATTTTTGCGGATTAGTCGTGGTATTTAAGTTTTAAATATGGTTGTGACTACGAATACGACGTCTGTGCTGGGCGGTACGCCTATTACGTCTGCTATTGTTACGACTAGTTCTGGGGTTAGCTCCGAACTGTCGGTGATGACGACATCGTCATTGTGGCCGGCGTCTTTGCCCGTTTGGCCGACTATTTCATCGGTCGTGGCTACGACGGTGACAACTTCTTTGACCTATTCCGCGCCAGCGACTATGTCCTTGGGGTCGCAGCCCCGGGACGGTCGCGTGGGTTGGATATATGACCTCTCGAAAGGGGAGCTCATGAGGACGATGGACCAGTATGGTTTGGTGACCACTGGGACTTCTGCTGAATTACGGCAGAGATTTTCGTCGTTTTGGAAGCAGCGGAATGCCCGTCGGTACAGCGATGATAGGCTGTGTACAGCTGGGGCTGCTGCACCGACATATTTACCGCCCGCTACTACAACTGTGGAGCTTCCTGACCCCCAGAGAACCGTACCTCAGGTACTGGGTAATACGGAATCCGACCGACTTAGCAGGGAGTTAGAGGCGGTCAGAGAGATTCTTGGGTTGTCTTTGGAGACTGATACCCGGACTCTTCGAGAACAACTTGCATTGGTGGTGCGACAGGCGAGGGGCTCGCCGAGTAATGAGGTCGGCTATGGGTTCGGAAGACCCGCCAACCCTACGTCCCCTGTTGTGGCTGCTCCAATGCCTACCTTTGGGTTACCTAGTAGACCCGAGGGATGGCAGCGGCCCAATGATAGTTCTGAGAGACCAGCCCGGCTTCTAGCTTGGAGCTGCCACGGGGCTCGGATATGCTCTCAAATGAGGCCAGCAGGGTGGAGCCAAAGGATTGCTCCAAAGTATGCAACACGGTACGGAAGTGGGGTTTAAGGTTTGATGGCCGACGAGACCCTGTGTCGTTCCTGGAGCGCCTTGAAGAGCTGATGGTCTCGTACTCTCTAACATCAGAGGACCTGCTCAGAGCGCTGCCGGAGCTGTTGCAAGGCTCAGCGCTTCTATGGTACAGGAATTGCAAGGAGCTCCTGTATTCATTCGACGCTTTTCGGCATCAATTTGAGATCCAGTTCCTTCCACCTGGTTATCAGAGGAATTTGGATGAGGAGATCCGAAAAAGGACACAGGGTGAAGGCGAGCACTTCCGGGACTACGTTGTTGCCATAAGTACCTTGCTTAGGCGTAGCGGTACGTTGTCGGAGCATGGTAGATTAGACTTAATCTACAGCAACATGCGTCCGGAATACAAACTTATGGTACGCCGGCGTGACTTCAGGAACCTGGCCGAGATGGTTGAGTTGGCCGAAGATTATGAGGCTTATATGCGCGAGAAGGCAGCCTTCCGACCTCCTCCTTCTCCGAACGTAGCGCTGGTTTTGGAAACCGCCTACACGCCCAAAAAGAAGGCGGAGAAGCGCGCCGAAACTGCCGCAGTCGAGAAGCGGAGTTTCGAGAGACCATCTCCGGAAGCTGAGTCGCTTGGGCGGGTGCTTCGAAGTCGGATAGGGTCCACGGTCAACGGCCCGTGACAGCAGCTAGAGCGCCTGAGGGTCCAAAGGGGACGGTGAAATGCTTTAGGTGCCAGGAGACTGGTCACTTTGCCAAAGGATGTGGCAAGCCGAGGACCGTCTCCTGTTATGGATGTGGCAAACCCGGCATGACAGTGAATCGGTGTGGATGTCGTGCGGGAAACGGCAGGCCAGCTCAGACATCAGGAGGTCAACTGGGCAAGGCCACCCAAAACGAACGACCTCAGAAGAGTGGTCCGAGTGGCTCGGAAAACTAAACAGCCTGGTTGGTGGAGTAGACGAGAACCGGCTGATTTCGGAGACAAGGCCCTTTGTTGAAGTTGTGCTGATGGGCAGCGTTTTTAAGGCGTTATTGGACACTGGGTCCGTAGTTAACCTGGTTGGGCGCGAAGTCGCCGATCATCTTCAACACCAGGGGGTAGAACCTTTTAAGAAACCCTCTCCTCTAAGGATGGCAGATGGGTCACGGTCGAGGGCCGAGGATTCGTTTCGGCTAGCAGGAGAAGCTGCGGGAAGACGGTGGATGGGAGATGCCTTGTACGTCCCCACTCTCACCACAGACATGATCTTGGGTATGGATGTCATACGACATCTCGGACTTGTGACGGTCGTGACGGAGGTGATAAGAATGGGCGTGGGTGGTGACTGTTCTGGCCAAGGTGGCCGCATAGACAGTGTCAAAATTGGTGACGAAGACCCCGAAGGCCCTTGCAATGGAAATCCCCGTCTGGTTCCTGATGCCAAATCATTCAGCACCACGTTGGCTGGTAGTGGCGAGTAGAAGAGTTTTTCTTTGTTTTGCTTTGAGACCCGTGGTAAAAGAGGAATCATTGGGTTAAGAGCCGGAGTATTTTGTTTTGGCCGGAGTTCAAAGATTTTTTTTTCTTTTTGGCCGTTTTCTTTTTTTTCATCCCGATGTAAGTGGGGGATGTAACGAGTTATTTTCCCTAGGGGGGTATATTTTTGCTATTTGGCCGCGCACCGATTGTTGAGGTGAGCGAGCGGCGGCAGCGAGGCTAGCGAGCGCCCTTTGACCCGGCTTATCAGTGCCGATAAGCCTGGGATATCCTAGATCTTCAGGACAGTATAGGAAGGACATTCTAGCGGTGGATCTCGGACAGTCAAGAAGTGAGTGTTGGTGTCGTATGTCTAGTGAGACGTCCAGTGGTGTACGTGACAGTAGTGTCGGAGTATGCTGGTGGTGTGATCGCGCCGAGTGTTGGTGTAAGTTGGGTACAGACCCACTATTGGTGAGTGGACGACGTTCCTTACATTTTGGTTTAAGAGCTGATAGTTGTTACCAAAACATTCATCTCTGATTTCATTGGTTGAGTTGTAACCGTGCTAGTCAAAGCCTGACGATAGTTAGGATTTATATTAGTCAGGAATAATATTAAAGTGTATTCCTGATGGTTCTGGGCAGGTGCTAGAGCGCAAATAATATAATTAATTGACTGTAGTAGATATTATTTGGCGTTGTACCTAGAGTTAGTTATATTACTAATAACTCGGAGGCCCGACAAACCTAGGCTGCACGATTTAGCGTGCGTAGTTGGAAGCACGAGGCCAGTAGGCTAGTAGCTAGTTTTATTAGCCTATTAACAGAAGCCCGGCTAAGCAATATAACGTTGATATAGTAGCAGTAGTGGTAGTAGCAGTAGGGTTGGTATTGATTAATCATTTAATTATTTTAATTTAACCTGAACAGCTTGCTTAGTAATCCAACACGTTAGCTTGGTAGCTTGGATAGCGGAGTACCGGCTATCAGATAATATATTTATCTAGTGTTTGGAACGTATTTGATATTTGTTTATCTGCTACTAAGTAGCTCAATATTTTAATAGTGCAATTGCCATTTAGTTTTGCTTGTTTGGCTTGGTATTTATTGAGACCAGCTACTAGTGGTGTAGTCACTCTACCTATAGTGTACTTGTATATTATTATGTGGTACGATTATTGAGTGAACTGTTTGATTCTTAGCTTGGGCATTAGAGTTGTGTATTGGATTATAGTGGCCTAGTAGACCCCGCCTGGTGATAACACGCGTTGTGGTTTTTATTGGCAAGTCGTCGTATAACTCACCGTGTTTTAGGCACTCTGGGCTTAACTATTGGATAGTTAGGACGAAGCCCGAGTCGCGTAGTCAGCAACGACCCCCTAGGAGTGTGGAGAATCGGCGTAGGCCTGGTAGTGATTATTGCACGTTTGTTGTGGTGACTTGTTTTTGACTTGTTCACAGTGCCCGTGTATGAGCCAGTCCTATACCGGTTAGACCCGGCTATTGGCCTAGTGGTTTCCCTGACCTTATCGCAGACCCTGGAACAATACCCAGCCATCGTAGGCTGAGCTATCCCCGGCAAACGGTTGAGACTGCGACTGCACTTTTAATATATTTTCTCGGGTGCAGAAAATAGCGTCGCACACTTGTAAGACAAATAGCTATTACCCAACCCGCCATGTTAAACTTCCCTATCCCAAGCGTGATGTATACAACTTCTTTACTTCATGAGTGAAGTAAAGTTTCAAAAACTCACTCGGTGAGGTAATGAAACCCAGCATTTAAATAACATTGAGTGCTCAACTTAAAAAAATATACCTCTATGGAGCCAAGTTCAACGCTAGAAATCAGCTGTGCACTTGAATGTTATTGTTATGCTTTAAAGAATTTTCCTAACCTAGCTTTTTTTCGTAAAAGAACGTTACTGTTAGAAGATGAGTGAAATGGATAGTGAAAAATATTGTACGTAACCCCCTGTATATTGTCGGGTCAGGTAAAATCTTGTACGTTACACGTTACGCAAGAGCGTGTTTACATCACTTAGGTGAATTATGCAACTCGCTTCCGCTCGTTGCACAACATTCACCTGCGTGATGTAAAAACTCTCTTTCTTTTCTACACTTGTAAGGTAAATAGCTATTACACAACTATATGGTAGGTTTATTGGGAATGTTGCTGGAAGTCAAATTTTCGCTAGGTCAATTAATTTATACTTATGCCAATAGATCAAAAACTACAATGTTAAGTACAATGTTTGCAGTGTCTGTAAGTCAAAATCCCATTGAGTCAAATAATACAGCCAGTACTGAAAACATAGTCTCTGTTAAAGGGATTGACAAATTGACAGATTGGGATTTTGACCTAATGCAAAAGCAGTTTTAATATGACAAAATACGATAAACTACAAGTTTAGTTTCACTGAGTGCAGTGGCACAAGTAAAACAAAAAAGGAGAGGAAATCTTTCGAAATAAAACAAAGTTTAAAAAGTTTGAACTTATTATGGTTAGCTGGCTGCATTTCCAACACTCATCTCCATTCATACTTGGCTTAAAATACTTACTTTGTAAGGTCGCCATTTGATAAGAAAGTATTCTGCAAACAATGATAAATTGCAAACAGGTAGGCGGAAATATCAGAAGTTTTTTATAAGCCTACAAGCACTTAACTTAAAATACATTAGACTGTTGAACGATTTTTAATTGACAGAAATTATGCAATTATTAATTTCAACCAAAAAAGTTGTAAAGCATCTAAAACCACCTTAGTCGCATGCAGCAAACTATTGTTGCCATGAGAGGACCCAAATGGTCCTTGTTTTATTTCCGGTGATGGGGGGCCTCAAATCACCATCTAGCCGAGGGCCTCCAACGGAGCCAGACCGGGCCTGCTGATGCTTGTTGGTTAAACAGGTACAATTTATACACGTTTCGCTCGCTTGCTAAATTTGTGGAGTGTGAACAAAATTGTTGGTAAAATCAACAAAATATCAACTTGCAGAATTTTGTAATCGTCCATCAAAATTTGTCATGTGACAAGTATTAATGGCCAGATGGTTTTACAAACTAGTTAGTTGGAGCAAGGCAAGTATGACGTTCACACGGCTGCACGTAGTTTTATCACAACTGACATTGTTCTTGTTATTGGTGAGTTTTAAGATAAATATCAGCTTAAATAACTTCATCAGATTGAATAACAACCACCAGCAAACCTGCAGACTAAGAATTTCATTTCGTATGGATTCATACAAAAATATTTTCATAAACTAGACATTTATTTTCTATTTAAATAACATTCGACTTAACAAGTAATAGGTTTGCTAATATTGGTACACTTCTGCAGAGGACCTATGATTGTATCATGGCAAGTCTCCCAATTAAATTTAGGTAGTAACTTAGAAATTATTATTAGTAGTAAATTAGAAATTAAATTGTTTGATAGTTTAAGGGTTCTGATACATTCAACATAATAATATGGGGGTACACTTCCGCAGAGGACCTATAATTATATTATATAATGAATAACAATAAATATCGAAACATATCAATATTTATCTGGTTCGATAATAATATTATTTTATATAATAAATTGTCTTTATGTTTTTATGTTGATAATTTTATTCATTAAATATCAATAAAAACGTAAACAAACCAATTTTGAAATTGATGGTTACAATCACGAATACTATAAAAATACTGTTATCCTACTAATATTATAAATGAGAAAGTTTGGATGTATGGATGTATGTTTGTGACAAGTAAACGCATTAACCACTGGACGGATTTTGCTGACATTTGGCATGATGATAGCTCACATTCCCGATTAACATATAGGCATATTCTTATCTCAAAAATCCTTTCGGGCTCCGCCCCAGTGGCTCTATAGTTCCCCATGTTAACCTTATGAGTATTCATATTAAAAGGGAATTAAATAATTTAGTCTGCTGTTTCAACTAAAAAGTTGGTTCTATGATATGCAAAAGCATTAAAAACTTACAAGGATTACCAACAGGGTGCAGCACTATTATTTTTTTTTAATTTATGACAACAGCTAATTTGCAACCAAAAGGTGAGTGAGCGTAGCGAACGAACTTCAACCTGGAGGCGAGTTAGCGTAGCGAACGAGCTAACCTGAAGGCAAGTGAGCGCAGCGAACGAGCTCTAACCTAAAGGTGAGTGAGCGTAGCGAACGAACTTCAACCAGGACGTGATTGAGCCATGCAAACGAGCTCACTTATGAAGTAAAACGGGGCAAAGCCCGCGGGTACAGCTGAGTGAGCGTAGCGAACAAACTTCAACCTGGAGGCGAGTTAGCGTAGCGAACGAGCTAACCTGAAGGCAAGTGAGCGCAGCGAACGAGCTCTAACCTAAAGGTGAATGAACGTAGCGAACAAACTTCAACCAGGACGTGATTGAGCCATGCGAACGAGCTCACTTATGAAGTAAAACGGGCTAAAGCCCGCGGGTACAGCTAGTGGATCATAAACATAAACAAATGATGTTTTTGTCCCGAAAGTAAACAAAACTATATGTTAATTAATGCTATCGGTATAAGGGTTTTGTTTACTTTCGGGCCAAAAACGTAATTTGTTTATGTTTATTGGCATTTTATAATAGTATTTGTGGTTACAATAGAACAAAATTATATAATCGATATATCTTTATTACTATGATAATATATTGTAGGTTCTCTGCAGAAGTCTACCCTTGATCAGTAAACTACAAGTTTACTTAATTTCCATAAGAATATCATGAGAAGCATATTTGAATCATTGAATCGTATGCATAATTTCATAAAGACCCCTTTATTATTTTTATGAGATGTTGAAAGGATTGGGTTTTTGGCCTATATTATAACATCAAACGAAAAAGTAAATTAGTCCTGTGTCTAGGTCTGGGTGTAGCTGAGACCTACACAGTTGTATCATTCTCCGTTTTTTACTAAAGTGTGGACATTTATGTGTTAATAACACTGTAGAACATTTTATTCTCATATAAGGAACATATAAGGAAAGTTCTTATAAACCAAACATTTTTCAGGCCGGGAAGATAGACAGTTATACGCTCCCTGTAGATGTAGAAAATGAAAAACCAGCCAGTCCTCGCCATGGGAAAACATTTGAACTGAAGAGTGGTGTCATCGCAAATTTGTTCATGTGGCGATGGTCAGATATTGCCGATGAATGTGAGCAGTTTTTGTCCAAAAAAGGATTTGATGGTGTCCAAGTAAGTTTGTAATTCTGACTTATGTTCATAATTATATGTCTAACAAAAAATGTTTTATTCCCGGATAATAAAACTTATTAATACACTTTTTATTGGTTAATTTAAAATAAATAGAGCAAATAATTCTCAAATTTCCTTTATCCTTTCTCCACCATTGTTACAGATCTCTCCCCCTGTTGAGCACGTTAAGCCAGATGGGCTCTGGGATAGGTACCGGTACCAAGTGGTCTCATATCAGCTGATAAGCAGTTCAGGGAGTGAGAATCAGCTGAGAAATATGGTTAAAAGGTGCAACAAAGTTGGTGTCAGGTCAGTATTACTCTGGTTAAAAAAGGAGAAACCCTTAAACTTATTTATGATATTCTTTAAGAAATAACATTCAAATAAACAAATGACTCTGGCATTGAATGAATTTATAGAGCTTCCAAAAGTCATTGTTGTTGGATAGTTTCTAGTACTACACCTTCGCGTATCTAAATTCATCCTCGGTACATTTTGTAACCCAAGGACTTTGGCAATTCCGAATACAGTAAGTGGACAGGGATCATCTGGTATTCAGATTGAGACTTTGCTTCAAAGCAGAAAGTTAAGAAATTCATAGGGCTGGGCGCACACTGATCCAGCATTTCACCTGAAGCAAAATGCACAACGATTTGCTTGAAGCGTTTTGTTTATTTGCTTCTCCAATGTGCGGGAGGTTCAAGCATGATTCAGCATTTGGTTTCAAGCAAAATTAAGAAAAATAAATATTAGAATTACATATTATGTCTACTGGTCTTATACTGCAGTATTGTTTTAACATATGTGACGAGGAAGTCGACTATTGCTGTATGTCAGTTTTTGCAAAATGCTGGACTAAATAGAAAGACAACATTGGGTTCACCCTATCAATCTGTTAATAGACAGCTTTCCTCTCAGAAATTAAATCAGATCCAGGGAAATTTTACAATTATTGTCGAATAAATGCTATACTATTTTATAGAAAGGGTGTTTTAAATACCGTAAGAAATTATTATTGGATAGTGTCATGATGGTTATATAAATAGGTAATGATTAATGAACTGAGTAACCTTGGTAATTTCTTAATTATTTTACTACTTTGCATGACTACCAAAATGGTAGCAAGAAAAATTAAACAACAGTATTGTTCATTATAAATTCAAAATATATTTGTTAAGTTGTAACGCAACTTCTAAAATTTTTCAAAGAAGAGTTATTTTTTAATCAACAAACGGTCAATTGAATTTTGAAAGCCACTAAGCTTTACTAGCTAGAAAGGATTTGGCGCATGCGCAGAACGTTTTGCTCCTTGAAACATCAAACATTGTGCTGTATGGGATCCATTCGTCGAGCAACTGCTCAAATGTTTCAAGGCGTTGCGAGGCGCCTCGCAACGTTTGTTTGATCAGTGTGCGGCGTCCCATTGAAATACATGGGGTGCTCGTACCCAGCAAAACATTTTGCCTCGCAACACTTGCTTCAGGTGAAATGCTTGATCTGTGTGCGTCCGGCCTAATGAGATTGTTGAAACAAGAACGACTAGAGGATGCACCTCTCCTTTAGAACTTGATAGCAGCTATCTTAATAAAGATGGGTGCTTTGCCTTATGCTATATTTTGAAATGGCAATCCTTGAGGTTGGGAAGTTCAACGGGACATTCATCAAAGGGTCTGGATTTGATGGTAAAGAGCATTTTTAATTACAATTACGTCCACGACAGTAATACAGTAACATGAAAATAAACCTTAAATGTTTCAAGTTTCATGTTAAAAGAAAAGATTACATGGGCGAAGGTAAAAAAATGGGTTCTTTGTATACAAATAGAAACACCATAAATCTCTTTTGTTTATACAGGGTGTTTGTCGATGTTATAATCACCCATATGACAGAGGTTACTGACCGAGATGGCGTGGGAGGTTCATCTTTTTTCCCTGAAGACAAGTATTACCCAAGCGTTCCATACACTAAAGAACACTTTCATCCACGTTGTGAAAAAGAGGTATGTTTAGGAATTGTGGTCCAGCTGTCATTGATCATTGAGGTTTCAATAAATGGTCCTGACTTATGAAAGACACAAGAAAAAAAACTTTGAAGAAACAAGACTTGCAGTAATGTTCAGACAACAATACTTTTATAAATAACAAAAACACAATCAGCTGTTATGTTTTAAAACTCCTGATTGACGTATAACGTGTGATTGGAAAGATGTTTAGACAATATAAAAGGAGTATTAACATTGTTTAAATGGAGAAAAGTGGTTGTGCATTATGAAAAGAACACATTTCTCTGTTATTATATGTATATCCATTCTTAACAAATAAGGTATTATTGAAAACTACATAAAATTTACCAACTTTTTTGTCTTGTGTAATTGTTTTGTATAGTTAACGAGTTTTGTGAAATTTAAATTTGACAATAAAGATTTTAAATGTCCGCCATTTTGAAACGGTTTATGATTTTTTATTATAATTTTAAACAAAATAGGTCTTAATAAGATAAACATTTTTTGCAAAATATCAACACTGTATCTGAAACCTTTTAGGAGTTATTAATTTCTTTGTAAAAAACACATAAATACAGACAGACGGTAAACTAGGCACCACACAGACCATTTTCCTATGGTGAAATGTGTTTGTCTTGACCTAACGCAATAACGCTATATACATGTGTCCTGAGAGTTGCGGGAAACCCTATATATTAGACCATAGACAAATAGAATAAATATAGACCGTCAGCTGTGCTGCGGTTAGGATAAGCTAGCGGTTAGCCGCTAGGATTGCCGTGTAGCTGATAGCATACGGCGAGTCGGCGAGGAACCAACGATGGCAGCGAATCGAACACCGAGTGGCACATCGCGGAACCTTCCTTTGACAGTCTTTATTTATTCTGTTTGTCTATGATTACACTCACAAAAAAATCTTTATGGAATTGCTAACTGAAGTACAGATAATTGATATTTTTACTCTAAATTTTATATTTACTACAAATGATTTACATTTTTTTGCTTTTGTAGACAGAGTGTGCAGAAGGTAGTGTGAATAACTTAGACCTGTCTCTTGAATATGTAAGGGAGAAGATTGTGGAGCATTTAAACCACTTGATAGAAATCGGGGTAGCTGGTTTTAGGTAAAAAAATCTCTTTTACTTGTGTAATAGCTTTCACATGTATGTACATTATACATATAGGTATAATACATATGCTATGCAATAAAAGATAAATTGTTTTGTTGAAAAAGGAATTATACAAGATGTAGTATAATTTATACATCTCATAATAGGAATTACATTTTAATGTGCCATATTAGGTATGTATATTTTCATGATTTTAATATGTCTCTACCTTACAATCAGCCTGGACTCCCAAAGAAGTAGAGCAAGGCCGCACTTTATAGATTAGTATAATTTCGGACTTAGGACTTGAGTGGAGGCACAACACAGGCTTGGGCCACGGAGTGTTAAGTTTTAGAAAAAGAAATTATGAGATGTATACATGTCAGATGCAGGAATGCCATTAACCAAAGGATAAGTTATAAGAGTTTTTACAAAATGTTGATTCTGTTTTCTAAACTTTATCACATGGAGCTTTACCGTAATTATGAATACCGTAGTCTGTAGTTTAAGAATTCTGAGCATTATGAAAACTTATCTTAAAAATATAGATAAAAACTTGCTGTCTCTATAAATAAAGGCTACATTCTATCGGTTTGTATGATGACATGATTTACCAAATTTTTCAGAATAAATTTGGCCAGTTTTACGGCTGCTGATAACTTGTCAGTGATCTACCAGAGACTGCATTATCTCAACACAGAACACGGTTTCCCTGCAGAGACTAGGCCTTTGATATACCAGGAGCTCCTGGATTTAGGTTTGCAAGATGCCGTTAAAAATTTTATTTTAACTAATAGTCAATCTTACAGCCTACAAAGTCAATGTTGAGCAAATTTCTCATTAACAACACTTTGGCTAGAATATAACCAGATATCCATCCAAACCTCAAACTCGAAAATGTTGACAAAAACAATACTTTCTCCATATACAAGCTATAGGAGGGGGAAAGTAAAAATAATCTGTAAATTTAAAATTCCCAGAAGAAAAAGAAAACTGAAAATTTGTCCATTTTATTCTACCATTAACATTAGATCAAAATCACCCTTTCCCTTCCACGTAGAAGCAAACTTGTTGCTTAATTGTTAAATCTAATGTTAATTTACTGTATAAGGTGAACAAATATGACTCGTTCATAAAGAAATATTTCAGTTAAAATCCATTTAGACAAATTGGAACTCACTTAATTTAGGTTTGTTGGAGTGGGAATATTTTTTACCAGAATTGTAACTTTGTAAGCCTTAAAGTTAAAAAATTATAATAGATTAATGCCACCTTCAACGAGAGCAGATGTGAAAATCAACTGATATTATGATGATGTTTATCAATGATGTGTTCACAGAGGGTGAGGATCCAATAAAGTATGAGGAGTACACCCCACTAGGATTAGTCTTAAACTACAAGTTTGGCCATCAGTTGGCGGAGTTTTTCCTAGGCAACAAAAAACTCAAAGATCTTCAGAACTTTGGTTTGTTTGGTTTAGTTTTCCTAGCAGTTTGTTTATACTTATTTTTATAGTTTTAAGACAAGCTAGCTGAGTTTAAAAAGCTCATCTAACAATAGAAATGTCTCAGAAAGTCAGTAGCTTGGTGGTTTGAAACTGGACACAGCTGTCTCATCATTGGGCTGTAAATAAATACTAGCGTCTCAGGGGGCTGGTCAAAAACCGATGATAACCTCTTCCGCGAAGGAGTGGGGGATTGTGGGAGTGTCCCTCACGTCCATTTAAGAAAAATTATAAAATAATTTTTTTAATATTATAAAATTCAATTGTCATAACCAAACACCGACAGCTACTTTGATTAGCTTGTTTGATTACTAACCAAACTTGCTGATAATATAAAAAAGATATAAAATAAAAATTGAATGATGGTTTACTCCAAAAAATAGTTCTGTTCATAAAATAAAATTATAAATGCCTCAAATTCTAACAAAAAGATGTAAAGTTAACAAGTATTCGCATTCTAAGCAAAATCTTTCACAAAAAGTTAGTGTCACCGGTGGGATTCAATCTGAATACCTCTTGGACATCAGCCGAGTTCTCTATCCCCTACACCACAAACACTGATGGACGCACTTCGTATTGTTGCGGTAATGGTGTTCCCTCAAGAGAAGAGGGTGACGTCATGCCCCCCACTCTTTTGCGAAAGAGGTTCTCATCGGTTTTTGACCAGGACCCCGAGACGCTAGTGTAAAAAAAATGATTCTGACTGATAGAAGACAAGATGATGTTAGTCAGTAACATAAACAAAGCTACACAGATCACCTCACTTCATTCTACTAATTCATCCTATAACTAATCATGGTAGGGGGTTGAGTATGCACTGAAAGTGTAACTTTTCTTGACTTTTGATTGTTGTTGGGGGCATCTTGAGGATGACAAAAACCGACGTTGTAGGTGCACAACCTTGGGGGGGGGGGAAGATGCACTGAGTTGCGTTCTAGAACATCGTTCATATCTCGTGAACTAGACACGATAGAAAACATGTTATGTAATACCCCGAAAGTTATTTGTATGTTTTTTGTGCTACATACATGTAGAAAACCATAGAACATGTTATTCAATATCTATTGGTATTCATTTTTTATAATAAAAAATATATTTAGTTTTAATATTGGCACACTAACCTATTTAAAACAGATTTCAATATTGTTGTTTGTTTGATCTAAACCAGGCTCAGAAGAAAGTATCCTACCAAAACGACAACTGGTTGTGTTTGTTGAAAATCATATCACGGAAGGAAACATTAATCATCTAAGCTACAAGAAATCAAAAGTGTACAAGGTTAGAGTCGATTGTGTTATTAATTCTGATACATTTAAGAGAAATTAATTATTTTGTAGTTATATTTCATAAGTATTGAACTTTACTAATTTTTACTATTTAGTGGTGTAGTCGTAAATTGTGCAGATTGTGGACGCTTAACATTATCCAAAGAATGACTAACATATGATTAGAACATAGGACTCTTGGAAAAAGAAGAGTTTGGAAACCCACCTACATTACCATGCATTCCTAACCTACTTCACCACTGCTTTTTGTAAATAGCAAAAGCACATAATCATTGGAAACAAATTAGTTTTCGAATGTTGAGAGCTTTTACAATAGAGGCATGTTCAATCCTGAACTATTTAAATCCATATAATCCGCCATCTTGAATTAAAATTCAGGCTGCCGAGTAGAGCCCCCTCAAGATATAACACGTTTACTCGTTTTGAGGTAAACAAAATCCGCTATTTTATGACTTCCTGTGCTATTCTTATGGAGAAAATGTTGTGTTATATCTAATTTTATGCTGAACATATCAGAATTTCACGATTATTCCCTACATCACGGACTAATAGTTCATCACATAAAACACCAGCAGGATTTCAGATATAAAAGCGAACTCACATTCTGTGGTGTATATGTCATATTTTAAATTTATTCATAACACTAAGGTAAGAGATACTCTGTTATACAAAATGTCTAGTCAGTGAAACAGAATCGTACCCAAAATGTCATCCTACAACTTTAAGAAACAGTAGCTTCAAATATTTTTATTCCTATTCACAGATGGCAGTGATTTTCATGTTGGCTCATGCAGATTACACTTCCAATATATTTTCGGGTTACTCGTTCGAAGATGACCATCAAGGCCCACCTGATCTGCCCCCTCGTCCTATCAAGAGAAACATTTGTTCCAACGGTTGGGAGTGTCAACATCGGTGGCGCCAGATATACAACGCAGTGGAATTCCACAACGTTGTCAAAGGTAGAGTGGAATAAAATAAGAAGGAACTGATAATAAAATTGTCATAAAGGAATTGTTTAAATTGGTATTGTGCATACATACTTCAATATGCAAATCCATTATTTAAACCAAGACAGTTCTATCAACTGTTCTATTACTTTAGGTTCACCATGATGACCGTTAATTGGGAAACTATGAAAATTTTTAAAAGTATTACCTGCTGTGTAAATTTAAGTTGTGGCCAAATGAGCTGCAAATCTGAAACAAGCTAAAACCACAATGGAATTCATACTTGGCGATAGCGTCGATTCTCCTTCACATCGTTTTCCTGACACTAATCGTACCATAAGGGTGAGATTCACCAGGATTGTGGTGGATGAAAGAAATAGCCTCACAGAAGTTTCAGAATGGGACGGGTGGATTAAAATACAAAGAATAAGCAACGGACAGGGAGTAAGATGTTTTTGTTTTTTTTATACATTATAAGCAGTAACATTAACATGACAATTTTTTTAATGTTTATCTAGGTACGCCAGTGATAAATTGGTGGTGGAGCAAGGAGAAAAATCAAATTGCATTTTGTCGAGGGAACAAAGGATTTGTGGCTTTCAACTTGGACTCTGTCAAATTAAATGAGAATCTCCAGGTATTGACACTGAGAAAAGTATTATTCCGATCCACTTACTTCTCCAATGACTATAAGATTTTCCAACCATTAGATGAAAATGGTCACATCACAACAGTACCCAATACCCTATTTCCACATTATTCATTCCCACACTCATTCGAATGACTATTCCCGCACGTTAAATAAGCTGATATTACTGTTGGTGTTTTTCTAAAACACTATCATCTGGTAAGCAAATAACATGAACTAATGTAGTTTTATATACAGCTAAAAAGTTACGGTAATTGTTGTGATATAATAAGTTAATTATGGTGGTTGGGAAAATATTGTGTTTCACGAGCAAAAATAATCATTGCTTCTCTCAAAATGTTTGGCCTTTAGCTTCCTGCGGCCATCTACAGTTCTTGGACTTCTGTTTGAATTCTCTCCCTCAATATTTGTATAACCTTCTAAAATCATATCTAACTAATCGACTTTTTCAAACAAAGTCTGAGTACCTCAAGGGAGTGTCCTTGGCCCCTGGATATATTTGATATACACATAAGAAATCCCTATATTCCTCAACGTCACATTTAGTTGCTACACTCGCTGATGACACTGCACTATTATCAAGTCATGTAAACAAATTAACTTGCACCCCCTTTAACTTTTAACTATTTGAGATTGAAATCGGTGTGCTGCAACATGTTTTGGATATGAAGGGCTGCAATATTTATGGTCGGTTTTGACAATTTTGCCATTAGGGGTAGCGGGAGTAGGGGGTAGCTCAAAATTTTCAAATAGCAAGTATAAACGAGTTTGGTAACATTTTGCAGGTCTTGACGAAACATAACAATTAACATAAAGAAAATAGAATCGCACCATTAATAACGAAATGGCAGTTCAAAATTACTTTTAATAACCGTTGGCTTATCATTTTTAGCTGCCATTTTGTTATCAGATTTCTAATTTCTTTATTTTAATTGTTATGTTTTGTCAAGACATGTAAAATGATACAAAACTCAACTATACTTGCTATTTGAAAACTTTGAGCCACAACCCCCTCCCCCCACTACCCCTAAGGGCAAAATTTTCAAAACTGACCATAATTATTGTAGCCTTTTATACCCAAACAATTCGCCGCAAACCAATTTCAAATATCTGAAATAGCTAAAAGTTCAAAGGGGTGCAAGTTAATTTTTTTGCCACCCTCATGGTTATTTGGATTTGAAACGTTTTAGGGCGCCATTTTGTTACAAGAGGGCAGATTTTGGTTTTCTTTAAGTCAATTTCTATTTTTCTATGTTTCGTCAAGACCTGTAAAAGAATGTGCAATTAGGGTATCTCTTTGTTTTAAAATCATATCTGAAAACATAATTTAAAACATGTAAACATAGTAGTTTACACAACTACCGGTATCGCGTTTGGTCTATTTGTGCGAGTTGCATACACTACTTTTCCTATGACAAGCTGAGACCGTTTTTAATTACTAAAAATCACTACTCATATGTTTTCATGTACTATAACCTTTTTTCTTTGCCACTGACAGTGATGCAACGACTGATTGACTCATTGTACCAACTCATTAACAATGATTAAACTGATACAAACAACTGATCTTTTCAATTCTGAGAACTGATCTAGGACGGCTAGTTAAAAAAACCGTAGGTAAATGTATTTTTTAACATTTCCACAAAACTTTATTAATAAAATAAAGCAGAGTGTATGTTTATGTTAACGATATTTCAGACATGCCTGCCAGAGGGAGAATATTGTGATATCATATCTGGAGAATTTACAACTACAGGGTGTTCTGGCAAAACAATAAAAGTTGAAAAAGACGGAAAAGCAAACATAGTTATACCAGAGAACGCAAGTACTGATGACGGTGTTGTAGCAATCCACATTCAATCTGGAACTGTGTACGGAGATGGGAATTCGGAGAAAACTGAGATGTAATTTCTACAAATGAAAATGTATGAAATACAAATAAATGACACATGGAATTTATCATTGTTGACTTTCTCACTTTGTTTCTTGATAATCACTAAATCGGATTGAATGGTGGAAAAATCTGATCTTGCCAGTTATTAATTTTTCAGTTATTCATGCCTTCCCTGATGTGATCTCAGATCTCATTGTAATTTAAAAACATTATTTAATTGTTCTTCTGTCCTATTCAGAAATACGATTGGGATATGCATTCTATATAAAGGATTTTTAATGCAAACTTTTATACAGTGTGGTAGAAAAGTCCCGGAACGGTTAAATATTTTAAAAAATAATGCAGATAGAGCTAAAATACTTGGTACAAAGTTACAGGGCATAAAACTCTATTTTAACACATATTCAGTGATCCAATAATTCTTCAGGGGGACGGCCCACAGGGAGTCGGAAGAAAATCTTAAATGGAAGCATAGGTCAATATGCACATCAAATTAAAGGTCTTTTTTAGTATAATATAATGCCGCAAACCGCACTTCAAAAGGTTGATCCTGCGCAAAATGGCAGATATGTTCAAAGATTTCTTGAATCCGCCATTTTAAATCTTTGAACGACTGCCATTTTTTACTCAGGCATTCTTTTGAGCTTGCATGAATTTACGGCATCGTAATCTAAAAGTGAAGACCTTTAATTTGATGTGCATATCGACCTATTCTTACGTTAACAATTTTCTTCCGATTCCTAGGGCTGTGCCCCCTGAGGAGAAAGCGTATAATAGCAATGTAAATTAAATGAATCTTTGAACAACTGTAATTTTGCGCAGGATCAACCTTTTGAAGTGCAGTTTGCAACATTGTATTCTACTAAAAAAGACCTTTAATTTGATGTGCATATTGACCTGCTTCCATTTAAGATTTTCTTCTGACTCCTTGTGGGACGTCCCCCTGAAGAGTTATTGAATCACTATGAATATGTGTTAAAATAGAGTTTTATGCCCTGTAACTTTGTACCAAGTATTTAAGCTCTATCTGCATTATTTTTAAAAATATTTAACCGTTCCGGGACTTTTCTACCACACTGTATTTTATGTCTCATTTTCTATGTAGGTATATGAAAAGTAATTTGAAGTTACCAGAACTTCAATGTTTTATTTAATGCGCTATAGCTTAAAATTAAAACTATAGTTCGGCCGCTTAGAAAGCGACCTCCTCCAGCATTGGTTTAGCATTAGTGCGCAGGTCGTTTTCTATGTGGCCGAACTATAATTAATCCAACCCAAAGTATCCAACCCAAGAAATTTAAATAGTTTTGACAAACTTTTTAAAGTTACGAAATACATAAACGTTTTGTAGGACAATAATATTGTCATGCAGATGCTAGCAGCTCATCCATAAAATCCACCACAGAATATTTCTAATAATCAATAAATAATTTCTAAAACTCATGATAATTATGGAAACTGTTAATAATCAAAATACGAGAGTAAATTTTTCAAGTAAGACACATTTTTGTGCCTATCGCTTCTTATTTCTCGTGTACGCCCCAACGAGGCTCCTCGCCTGGCATACTTTACTTTGTGAGCAGAACAGTGTCAATTGTATTTTGTAGCTGACATGTAACTTACACTTTGCTGTGTCTCTAGAAATTAAAAAAAATATTAATTCCTGCCGCATGCAAGATAAGGTCAGTGATATGTTTTTCCCTACAAGAAACATATTGGCTGCGAACATTCATTGCCAGATGACTGAAGTTTATGGCCATAATGCAATCGAGTAGGGTAGGGTGGAGAAATGGGCCAGGGAGTTAAAACAGCTGTTAAAATGTCCATTTTGAAGGGAATTGTGTTTTTGTTGGGTACCCAGACTGCTTACAGAAGACCACACAAACTAAAATAGTTTTGACCGCCATTTTTACTCCCTAAACCATTTTTCTCTCACTCATTGCATAGGACCATAACCTTCAGTCGTCTAGCTATGAATTTCGGTATCAGATATGTTTCTTGTGGTAAAAAATGTATCTCTTTATTGTACCTTATCTCGCATGCGACGGAAGACTCAATAAATTTAAAAGATTCTTAACATTCAGCGAACTATATTCGTCACCAGGTCAGAGCCTAATTGAAAATCAATCCAGGCTAATGAAAATTCGCTTAGTCGGCAGGTTTGCTGTGGCGGGGGTATTTTGACTTAAGATACTGTACATATTTTTTACTATACCTAATCTATATTATTATCTTTGACTATTCCAATAGTCAATGCTATTATATAAAAATCTTATGGTGTCTGTCTGTATGTGTATTACTAATAGGCGCAAAAACTACTGAACCAACTGGGCTTAAATTTTACAAAAATATAGCTACCATACCAAGGACCATTATAGGGCTATTCACACTTTGATGCTGACCGTGGGCTTTGCCCCTTTGGCTTTAAAAGTTCTGAGGTGAAGATTTTAAAAGTAAATATTGATTTGTCTCCATGGCTGCGATGAGAACAATAATAATGTTTGTTTACATTTGCTTTGACAGTGAATGAAAAAGTATATCGGTCCCGGTTCCAGGTCTTACCTTGCCACCTATGGTAATAGTAGCATAGACTAACCAACACAAGTAGCCTTCTCATCCCATTGTAAAATTTGAAGCACGTTTTTCGTGTCTAGTTCATGTACGCCACACTTGGCGCTAGTGTCGACGAAATTTTGTTTCTATTATTTTAGGGTTAATTTCTTGATTTGTGCTTTACTGTTTGGTTAAATAACTAGGGGACAATATATTGTTTATGATTAGATCGTATTATTTGGTTAAACGATGTTTTAAATGACTGTATTAACGGGAAACAAATTGTAAACAAAACACGACCTCTACATAAAACCGTACAGAACTAACAATAAAATTGTCTTCAGCTGTTCCATAAGGATGAGAAATCTACTAAGGGAGTATGTTTTATCTATGGTAATAGCTACTTCTCTATAGAAAAATTCCCTAAAATTAAATAAGGAAAAAGTAAACTGTGCAAACCTACAGCAGATTAATTTTCCTGATTAAATTTTCAACTTTTTTAATAAACATATCAGATTTATTCCCAATTTAAATAACATTAGTTTTAAAAGTACATATGTTTGCTGCTACAAGGGAAGGCAATAAAGTGTTCTTAGTGTTGTGTAGTGAGTTTCAAGAAATAAGTCAACAATGATAAATTCCATATGTCATTTATTTTTATTTCATACATTTTCATTTGTAGAAATTACGTCTCAGATTTCCCCGAATCCCCATCTCCGTACACAGTTCCAGATTGAATGTGGATTGCCACAACACCGTCTTCAGGACTTGCGTTCTCTGGTACAACAATGTTTGCTTTTCCGTCTTTTTCAACTTTTATTGTTTTGCCAGAACACCCTGTAGTTGTAACTTCTCCAGATATTAGATCACAATATTCTCCTTCTGGCAAGCATGTCTGAAACATTATCAATATTGGTTTTTAACATAAACATATTTGTAATGCGTTGTATGTATAATAATGTTCAACATTGGACACAATAATTAGTGATTGCTGTTTTTCAGCTTTTCTTAGAGAATTAACGGATTTGTAAGATTAAGGTACTCTGGTGAGACGGAACTTGAATGGCTTGGCTCAGATTTACCTTTTTGGATGGACTGATTTACTTTATTTGTTTTCTAACCCCAGAGGTCAAAAACACCATCCGTTCATATATGTTTTTTTGTATGTGTACGTTACCACAATAACTTGAATAAAACTAAACAGATTTTGATGGAATCCGGTACCTACAAACATGTGAAAGTACATTTATTCCAATAATTTACAATCCAGCATGATTGGACCGTGGGATCAGGCTTTTATAGGTTTTATGGGGTGAAAACAGTTGTTTTTTTCAACCGTAAAATATAAAATTTAAGTAATTTGTTTCTGAAAACTTGTTTATGGCGTTAAGAAATAAATGATTTAATATTGGCGTTATTGTACCCTTGATGGTTACAGAGAAAATTTCATCAAACTGTAAATTTAAAATTCCACTACTATTCTTATGAATAAATTGTCATAGTTTGCTTGTTTATTGATATTTTGGCAAATTTCACTCTAACAATTTACTATAAAACCACACCTTATATTAACTTTCCCGTAGCAGCAAACTAGTTCTCACGTGTAACCTTTTGAAATGGGGAATGTTTCTGACGTATTTAAAAATATTTTGAGTAGAAATCCCATCAGCCTTGGTTGATTTAACTTTTTTATTAAAATAAAAACAAATCGTCGACCAAGTTTTTACAACTATTTCATCGTGCTTTAGAATACAGTTTATTAATACATAACAATAATATTTTGAATCTCCACAATTTTGACTTGACCAAATTTAATTTCATTTTAGTAAGTAACAAATGAAAATCAACCTCAAATCAAATCAAAATCTCCTTTATTCATGAATGTTCAAGTACAAAGAATAGAGTCAGTGAGTACTTATTGTATATTCACAATATTTTAAATTGTAAAATTCCTCAAAGGAGTAAACTGCTTTTTCTACTAGGTATTTTTGTAGGTTAAAGTAAAATTTCTTACTATTACATTCATTTTTTATATCTTTTTTGGTAAAAAGTTTATATATCTAAGGCCTCTATACACTGTGTTTTTTTTATAAAATTCTAAATTGTGTCTGTTTTGTATAACATATTGTGCATTTCTGGTATTATATCTATTACTGGTAGGCCTACTTAGTTCTAACTGTATTTTTGGTAAATGGTGCTGCTAAGTATATTTTATTGTCTCGTATATATAAATTCCAAACACTGTTAGGATTTCCAAATTAGAAAAATTATACTTTACACTTTCAATCCAATTTAAACTTAGCATTAATCTAATAGCTTTCTTTTTTAACAGAAGTATTTGATTAAGGTTTGATTTTGAGGTCCCTCCGTACACACTAATTCCGTATGATATAAATGAATGTACAAAAGCATAATACACCAGTTTTAGAGCCGAAAGATCACAGACATAGGACATCCTTCGAAGAGCATACAAGCCTGATGAAATTTTGCCTACAACAT